GAACCTTCATGAATAGATATTGATATCAGAAAACTGGAAAACCTCGTGAAAAGGTTCGTAATTTTAAACGACATCTCTTAGAATAAATATTGATAACAAAAAACTGGAATACCTCGTGAAAAGGTAAGCAATTTTAAAGGTATTTATTTCCTAGAATAGAAGTTGATATCTAGAAACTGGAAAATATATTGAATTTGAACCTTCATGAATAAATATTGATATCAGAAAACTGGAAAATCTCGTGAAAAGGTTCGTAATTTTAAACGGCATCTCTTAGAATAAATATTGATAACAAAAAACTGGAAAACCTCGTGAAAGGGTAAACAAAACCAAACGGTATTTCCTAGAATAGATATTGACATGTGGAAACCGGAAAACTTCATGAAAAGATATGCAATATGGCTATTGAAAGACTGGAAAACCTCGGCAAAAACGAGGTTGTTTTTTTTTGCACGCGCCCCGTATAAAGACGTCCAATTTCCGAGCGTATCTGCCAGAATCCGAAAGTGAAACATGCTCCGGCGTCATAACTCTACCGCCGCACGGGATCACGCAACCGGCATTAAAGCAAATTACACGTCCGAACTCGTTATTATTATCTCTGCCAAGTCATAGAACAAGCCGGGTTATTACCCACCCGGGGCTGCCTCTTCAATCTGCCATCTCCCCAGGAAATTAGATAAAAAATCACGGGTGGTTTGTGTCCATGTAGATGAAATTGCGGCGGCAGATACCGACTCAGCCAGTAATGGTACAATGGAGTCGTCGGTTGAAAACTTTTATGGGTAATTATTGTTGCCCGGCATCCAAAACAAAAGTAAAGAATTATCGACTATATACCAATCATGCGAAAATTATGCATCCAAATACGTATCACCGAAGTGAACAACTTAGAAGTTGAACCACTTCTTCTATCCGATGCTAAAAACCATAAACTACAAAAAAAAAATTAACACTCTTAATAGAAATAGACGAACTTATTGATGTAATAGTATCTAAATGTATATCATACGTAGCAAGTAATGTGTTTTAATAACCAACAACTCTCAAACTATTGAGCTCTTGAAGAGTTACTGAGGGGCAAGTTGTACGTTTGATCTTGGGTGTACAGAAGGTCAGGATACCTACTTTCCTGTATCATAGGAGTGTGTTAATGTTATTTCTCTGCCAAAAATTAGAATTCCAACTGACTTTAATAACTTGCGCTCTGCGCTCTGCGTTTTCTAATATATTAAGAAAAAATCTTGCAATTACAAATGAATAAATTCTTGGATATTAGTAACATTATTCCTTTTAGTCCGGATTTAGAACAGGATATGGCGGTGCAACTGCAATAACTGATGCAATTAATGACATTGTATCTATGCAGGTTTAAAGTAAGGCTTCTGTTATGATTATTATCTATGTTGAATTATATAGGTTTTCACGACACTTCATCTAACAATAAAAAATCTTACTTAACAAACCGTACACAAAATGTGATTATTGGAAATAAACAATCAGACATTGTATCAGGGGCGCACAGGTACTTTAGGACCTTTATTTAATTAAATTTAAACCATTAACATTAAAGAGTCTTTACAGCATTTCGGTTGCTAACTTTACTATGATGACACAGCTGAAATATATAAGAATTAACTGACTAGCAAATTTTGGATACAAAATTGAAGTTTACAAACGATATTAAGCTCCCTTTTAAAAAATTCTTATTCTATTTTAATTATTAAGACTAAAGTTATGTAATTCTTTGATATTGTCACATTTTAATTATTGCGACCAAATGTATGGTTCGTTTCTGAGTATTTTTTCAAAACGAAGAATACAAAAAGTCGACAACCAGTGCTTGACGTCATTAAAAACAGAAGAACCAACCTACCTGGTGCTTTTATTTGTTAAGTATTAATTTAATTAACTTAATTTAATTAAATTTTTGAAGTTGGTGCGTCCTGACAGTCCCAACAATTCGTCATGGGTCATGCACTTGGTGGTGTCAGGAGCTGACGCACCTTAAAGAGGTCGTTCGAAAAACAAAGCATAAGTCTCAATACTTGCAGAAGAATAGAATTTATATAAAAGCCGCTAAGTACGAGGAAGTCGTGAGGCTTACTGCGAAGATATAGAGAACTACTCTGAAGCAGCTTGGCTATAGAAACCTTAAAGTTTAAAACCAATGAAGCGAGATAAGGAAGATTTCTAAATGGCACGGTATACATACTGCTAACCTTCGGGAAAGCTTGATATTCTCACGAACACAAGAATTTCCCCAAGAGTTGTCATGTGGATCTATACGACAATCGTAAGATCCATGCGATTGTCTGATGATTCTGGTGATGGGGAAGTTTACTCCAAATCCTTCATAATTAACGTATGCTGCAGACGGAGCTCTCTGGTATTACTGTAGCCGCAAAGTTCTGGTACTTGATAGACCATGTTTTACGTCAGGACTAGCACTAGAATGTCACAGCAATCCTTAGATTGCTTGGACTACAGGGCGTGCGCATTCCAGGGGAAACCATGATGCCGATTTCCTCCTAAACTTCCATATTAAACTTTATAGTACCAATAGTACCAGAACATTACGTCAGTGTGACTACTTTAGTGATCGAAGAAAAAGAAAACTGAAATGAAAAAGAAAATTGTTGGCTAGCTAGGAAGCTATCCAAACCAGACAGAAGGCAAACAATCAAGGAGATAATTTTTGAAGCTATGACCTACCTCACTAGGCTAGATGTAAACCTGAGAGCTCTGCCCCGGACAAAGCACAATAGACCTGCTGTACACTGACAGATAAGGAGACAACTAAGTTGCTTTAGTTATATGTATATATTTTTTTGTATTATTTTGATGCTTAGAATAATTAACATTCCATTATCATTATTATTATTAAAATTAAAAAATACCTAAACCATAGCTAAACCATTTTCAACAGTTTAGCTATTCGCACAGCGACCGAAATGATTGGAATTTAACAAAAACTATTAAATATACGTCTGGGTAAATGTAATTCATTGTTATCATTTAATTATTCGCCGCTGTAATTGCATGCGTCAAACTTTTTCCGGTAGTTAATGGATTTCGTTCGATTTTGCTCGTTTGCGCGCCCCAAGGCTCCGTTCCCGGTCCGGCACTTTTACAATCAAATCTGTGACAGGGCACTTTCAGGGCAATAATTTCTGCGATTTTTACTGCGGTCACTAAAAACGGAGCCTTGCGCGTTTGAAAAAAAGTGCGGCCTTGGTTTCCCAGTTCGTCATTCTTCTCCGTAAAGTGATAGTTAAAGAAATCAGAGGTGTGTAATTAGACCCCGTGGTGGCGTGTTCCCGGCTCTAATTGTTAACGCGATTACCATAATACCATGTTATTATTAACAGCTTTCCCTTGGCGCACGCCTTTAAGTTTATCCGGAATTATGCTGCTATTTGGATATAGATGCCACTAAGACCGTTTTAAATAGCGTCCTAATGGTATCTCCGAAACGATAAGTGCAACTATTTCGCTAAAATTTGCAGAAAGTTGGATTTTTTACGTTATTTAGTTTGGTCATATTTCCTTTAGGGTCTGCAATACAAAAAACAAGAACTAACTAAATTAATTACTTTTTACGAGATAGAACATCAAATTGATTGACAAACTAATGAGAGCATAGGGTTTTAGAGTTTTCTCGGTTTGTGTAATTTTCATTTCTAATGCATTGCTTTTTTTTTGGTAATTGTTATATTTTTCTGTTTTGGTTAAAAAAAAATTCGTTTTCGAGAAAATCATTTTTTTTAGCCTCGAAAGAAAACCTTCAAAATTAAATTTAAAAAAATTCCTGACGAATTTTAACTTTATAGCTTGAAATTTCAGACACTTACTTTATGTGGTAGCGAGTTTGTCTGATCAGCTCAATATTTTGCTGGGCGTTGTGCATCGCCTAGTATTAATATTGAGCAAAATTGGAAGTTCGTAGTTACAACCCTTCAAACACTGCTCGAAGGTCCGTTATGTTGTACATATATCACGAGACAGAGAACAGACAAATATTGAAACCTTTTTTTTCGACGCTGAATCGACCGGTAACAACGCCGACGCTGCAGGACCTACCGTTACCGCGATATTGAGTTTTGTGAGGAACGTAGATTCATCCACAAAAGTCGATTTCATCGGATTAGTGAAAGTCACATTTCAGTTAAGGCGCAAAAGGGCCCTAACATTTTCTACCCAAAATTTGGAGCACGTTATTAAAATATTTACACACTTAAGCAAGATAATTAAAATACAAAAATCATTTCACTACAAAACTGTCGAGTTCTTAACATAAATTTTATCAACACAACTTTTGCAAATGGTTCTATGTATTCATAGAATTTTATTTTTATACATAATATATGGAATGAATATTAAGTGAAAAAGAATTTTCTTAGAAAAAAATTTGAAAGAAATTAACCAATAAAATACAAAAAAAATTATAACAAAGAACAAAAAATTTAGACACATACAAAAAATTGACAAAACCTGAACATACTTATTCAAATAATTAAAGAAAAGCAAATGCACTGCAGTTGATACTGTACATATACAGCCAATGCCAGAGTTTGATAATAGTCGGACATGTGGAAAACTAAAAAGGGCAAGGTGCCGCCTTAGGCGATTTTAGATAACTTCTTGCCAAAATAAATAAAGATAAGATTATCTCCAAAAATATGTAATTTTTCCAGTTAAAAATAAATTTAAATAATTTAAAAAAGGAAAATAGGATATTAAGTGTCACATCTTCCAAAATGGCAGAAAAAATTTGCAACAAGTTTAAGCTAAGCTTAAAGTGAAAACGAGTCAAATTAATAAACATTTTCAAAATCTCCAGTATTTTTATTTCCACTCTTAATATATATGTATGAAAAATTTTGTGTCTAATTTTTAGCCCGCATGACCACATAATTCAGTTTCTCACAATTAGTCAAAAATAAAGAACGCAAGGCTTCCAAAAAAGCATACTTTTCTAGTTTTCATTTTCCTTCCAGGGGAAGGTTGTGATCAGACCGATAGCCTTCAAACCAGCAGCTCCAGGTGCCATGGCGCCTTCTTCCAGGTTCGGTGACCGATATGGATCCACCCCCATACTAACCAGACCCGGGTCTAGACTTACCTTATACGGAAGTGAGAAATTCACTTTTACTTAGTAAGGATCCACTGAAACGTCATTTTCAGGTACCAGCGACTTGCGCAGACAGCACGCAGTCCAGAATTACTCACTAGATCGAAAGCTCCGGTCTTCTTGCCCTTCGAGCGCTTCGTCTCCACCCCTCGCAATGAGTTCTCTACCATCGTTACCGCATAGTCACAAGCTCATCAACTACGATAGCTTAGAAAGCGTCAGGAAGTCACCGATCAACAATGTGGACTGTTCGCTAATGTAAGTTCTGACCTTGAGGTTACTCGTAATCATTTTACCCCTCCTACTTCAGCAACAAACCTGCATATCGTCACTCAACATCCAACGTGGAAAGCTTAATGGACTTGACCCCCTCCCCTAGCGATTCAGGAGTGTCTGAATTAGAAGCGGCCCTCAGGGATCGCGACTCTGAGCTCGCTTACCTGCGACAAACCATGGAGCACAACGAACAAGTCATCTTCAGAGTATACCAAGAAAAAGAAAAGGTAGCATCGGTCACGTGGTGCCTTGAAGGTATGTTTCCAGTGTATTGATTTTGCAGGTTTGGGAACGAGAGTTGAGACGCCTCAAAGCAGTCCACGAAAACCGGCTCAGAGCCAGCGTTCAAAAAGCGTTGAAGCTGGAGCAAATGCTGATGATGCAATCTTATCAACTGAACCAAGACAAGAAGCGATTAATGGGAGACGTGCAAAAGGCCAGCTTCCAGAACGACAAGTTCAAACAGGAGATGGCATCGCTTAGAACTCGATTAGAGGAGACGGAGTGGGGGTTGTGTCAGAAAACCGGAGAACTTTCCCTGTTGAAGACGCAGTTGAAAGAGTGCCAAGTAAGTTCTGCGTACCATGTTAACTTCGAAATTATTGACTTTGTACTTTCAGAACGAGCAAACGGCGAAGTCTCAAGAGCTTCTGCAGTTAAGAACCGAATTCAGGGATCTTCAACAGCAGTTCAATGAGTTGGAGACGGATCTGGGAAAGCAAGTTGCTCTAACCGTGCAAAAGGACTTAGAAATTGCTGAACTAAGGAGTCAGCTGGAGGAAACAAAGAGGCAACTTCTCAATCACCGATCCACTGAATCACTGGACAAAAAGGTAGACGACATTACGGAAACAGAGAGGCTCAGGGCGGAAATCAAAGAGTTGAGGGAAGAATTATCCGACATGTCGCTTAACGACTACAGCAATGTGCAGCCCGGTAGAAGGAGAGGTCAGAACCTCGAAAACGAAGAAGATACACTGGAAGATCTGGAGATTCAAAAGTTTAACAAAGAATTCATCGAAAGCGACTTGGAGCAGCTCAGGCGTGAGCTGGACCAGAGGACCAAGGAGTTCGAAAGAGAACGGCTGGTATGGGCGCAGGAAAAGGAGAAAGTATTGAGATACCAGAGGCAGCTGCAGATGAACTACGTCCAGATATATAGGAGGAGCAAGGCGTTGGAGGTAGATTTGAAAAATTTAACGTTGTCGTTGAAATTGGATCAGCCGACTCAGAGACTCGCCAAAGCTGAGATGGATCAAACTGTCGAGTTGTAGAATTGGAGAATGAAAAGTTTGACACTAAGGAGTTAAAAAACGTTATATACTTAGCTTTTTCTTGTGTAGAATAATGTCTACATCTAAGTTAAAAGTGCCTTACTATGTATATTTTCTGCACAGTATAGAGGACGTGAAATTTTTGATGATTTTTGAGGTCATAATCTCAGAGACAGGGGGAGTTTGACAGTTTATAAAGCATATTCAAATTTTATAATTGGAACACCCTTAATATCTTACTCCATGCTTTAAAAATCATCGAAAATTTGACACCCTGTATGTCAAACGATGGTGGCTTGTGCATTGATAGCCTATCGCGTCATTTGAGAGTGTACATCTGTATAAAAAGATTACTAACAATAATTTTCAACTTGTGATTTTACTGGTATATAATTACTATTTATTTAATTAGAGTTTAATGTACATTTTAACACCGATTTTATATATGAAAACGTTTTATAGGAATAGAGTTCAAGTTTTTCGTTAATGCCATTTTATTTCACAAACAGACCCCACCAAATGGGCGCCTTTAAGATACAAAATTGACTGTAGTCAGGCACGGGAAAAAATGTGAAAAGGGTATAACAATTAAAATTATATTCCACATCAGAATTGTACATTTGTATATTGATAAAATATTCAATATGCAATAAAGTAATAAGGAAGATCAACAAGATGTGCATTAACTATGGAAAGGTTGAAACATACAAAATGCTTCTACAACATATTAACTCTAAGAAAGAGATAAAAACTTTACTTCAAGCTAAGCCTAAAATCAAAATAATTAAAAATAGAGACCAGCTCTCCCAGGGACTATTGATAAAGCATACTCAAAACATATAGCAATATCATGTTATGTTTCACAAATCCAACCATGTCGAGTACTTCCCAAATTAATGACCAAAAATCCAAATGAGAGCTCAGCAAAACACGCAGATATTTAATGTGATCCACAGGGTTCAATAGAGCAGTTGATTAATATGATAAATATAGATAGCTCTTGTAAAATTTTATTACTCTTTGCACTTTTTTACAGAGATTAATGCCATAATTCTTAAGTCGTCAGCACAGAGCAGATATGTGGAATATTTGCTTGAATGCGGTAGACAATCTCATTAGAAATTTCAGGAGATTGTCGAACTTGTGGCAAAATTAGAGAACTCCAGAGAAATCGTGCGAGAAACCTTCTCAAATTTGAAAAACAACTGCCTGAAACAACAAACAACAACAACAGATGAAAAGTACAATAAAAATCTATCTTCGAGGAATCTTTCCAATACTGAACAACAAATATTGAACAAAGGACTTAACTTAGTCCAGGCCCCTTGAAAGACGCCAATATTAAATATTGTAACTTCCATAGAGACCTTACAACTGGAAAGACCCGAAGCAGATGAATTGCGATTGAAAGTTACAACTGTTTTGGAGAAGAGGAGAAAGAAGACGAATACGATCAAAGAGGCAGAACCGATCATTAAAGACATACAAAAGGACCTGAACATTAAGATACGATCATAAAATCGAGGAGGCACTCCCAAAATTCTGGATAATTATAGATATTGGTTAACTCCGCACCAAACTAAACGACTACATCTTTATGGACTTTCAAAAACCCACAAAGGTAATGTACCACTTAGACCTGTCACCAGTTCGAGGGATTCCACAACCAGCAGCGTAAGTAGATTTCTTCTTCAAATGGACCAGCCACTTGTAGGAAAAACACTCTCATTTGTAAAGAACTCCGTGAACACAGAAAAGACTAACCTTATTGCATTTCCTAAGTGCAAAAAAGATCGTTATCTTTATATTAAATTAAATTGAAAGTCAATAAATTGCTTAACTCAAATACACAAATTATGTACAATCTAAACTCGACTAATGGGTAGGCTCAAAGATCAGCTGTCGATGTCTGTTACCAAAAAGAATTGTAAAGAGCATTTTTTCACTTCTCCCCAGGGTATCATGTAGACCTTATTCTCACTGTTTAAGGTGCCATCACTTATTCCCCTCTTATCCCTTGTCACTTTTGTAAAAAAAAACCATATCTATTTCCAATAAACATTACAAGAAATAGAGATCTTTCTCGTGAAATCTGCGAACTAGGGGCCCAATCTATTGTTCCATAAAAACATATCATATGGTATCGGTCAATTTGCAGAGGAATCAGAATCCAAAATTAATTAAAAATAATTTTAATTGTACTTTAACGTTCCTATGTTTATCCATCATCAAATGAAAAAGGCAAATCTAAAACCTAGAAGACTGGTCTCACAGGCAGGCTGAATAGCAGGTACCTCAAACATTTTTAATCTGGCCATTTGGAGTCTCTAATGGTGCCAAAAAGACTACTTCTAAAGTAGGATCAAAAACACAGTGGCGGATTTTAATGTGCTATCGATCCATCGAACGTCCAAAATCAATACCGCCGTTTTAAAAATTTTACGTTGGGGTAGGAACTGTAGCCTATGATTCCCGGCTCGAGGGGTTCGCGGAACCTCGTCTTTTTGCTGACCACGGGCTTGATACTGACAGGCGAAACGTTCCTATCCATCTCCCGTACCAATATGTTTTGCACTTTGCCCTTTCTTTTGCACCCGTACCACCAGTACTCTACCAGCAGGGTGATACAGGCGAGCCCTATCCCGATGAATATCACTATGAATACGCCGCCAATGTTTTCGATGCTTATCCCGTGGGAATCGTCGTCAATCTTCGGACATTCCTTTTTGACGGGGTTGAAGATCCACCACTTGTCTTTGAGGCGCTCCAGTTCGCGTCGGTTCAACAGTTGGAGAATCCTGGAGGGATCGACAAGATGTCAAAAGTCAGAGTCGAATGCCAAAGAATTTGAAGCCAAAAAAACACGCTTTAAATTGCAAAGCCTCACTTACCTGTTCATTTAATGTGTACTTAAACGCCTCTGTTTTTTCCCAATAGATTGTTATTATGTCAGTTGGAATCAGTAAACTTCCTCTATAGAACTGGAATGCTTTCTGATATGGATTTCGTGAGGCAAATGCTTAGAGTGAGACCGGTAGGAATGGTATTATACAAGTTAATTCAGATAGCAGATAATTCTAATAAGGGATTGTATTTGTATTGTATTGTATTGTATTTCTCAATTTTGCCACTTGGATTTGAATCTAAGTGGTTGCAACATATTTTAACTATTTTTGAAGGTGACAATAACTACTAATAATTTCATTCAGGTGCAAGTATTCATTTTTCAAATAAGTAAATCCTTTTAATGTACACCACTTTACATAAGTATCGCAAAAAAATAAAAAAATCCATGAGCTCTTGAACTTTTTCGAATGTGCCATATTTCGTGGTTAGATCTACATCCCTCTTCATTTTGTTGCAGTCTATTTTCTTGTAGTTAGTGACGTTGTTCCTTTAACTTTCACTGGTGCTTTATGTTCTAGAATGCACGCATGTGTGTGTCCAAGATTTGTCTTACGTTGGATATTTGATCTGTTGTCCCTCTCAATTTCCGAAAGTTACACTGATACTCCCCAATACATCAAATATATCCCTGTAATTCTAACATACTTATTTCGAGCTTTTCTTATGAATTGACCATATTACTGCCTCTTTCCACTCATCTGCTTTTTTTTTTTTTTTGACTGATCAGTTGGTGTAGTTGTGCGTCCCATTTCTTAAAGAAGTTTTATGGCTTTTCGTATCTCGTCTATAGATGGTCTGGCTCCTCTATGTTTAGTAACATCTGGAAATATTGTTTCCATCGGTCTACTATTTTTTCTTTTTCCATAAGGTCATTTGCTCTTTTATTTTCCACTAGACTAATCTTTGCTTGGAAGCCTTTTTATTCTTGTCTTATTTCTCCATAGAAGTTTCTTATTCTTTCTTAATTCCATTAATTTTCTTCTTACTGCATGACCATACATCTAGTAACCTTCCTTGAATAGCTCTACAGGAAATGTTTATATGGGGTATTTTTTTCATTAAAATATGAATTAATGAAAACATTTTGCCATTTTGAAATGCTCTTAAAATTTGTGATCTTAAATTTTTTGGAAGCAGCAGCTCCTTTAATCATTTTTTTTTCTAAACTACCGTTAACAAAACAGTAAGTTGTAAACTTAGCTTTTATCCTGAAACCATTACAGTATTACACAAAACTATGAACTATGTCGGTTGCAATACGTTTGATGCAAGTAACTAAACGATTTGTTGCAATACTTATGCCCGATAGTGTATATAATAGCCAAATTAAAGTTTCCTGTTTTCGGTAAGTAAAGCAAAAAAATACAGGGTGCTATTTCCTGTTCAAAAAATGCTTTTGAAAAAGATAAACAAGAGTTAAATGTTTTTCATTTTTTAGATATATAAATTATTGTAAACTTGTTCGAGGAGTATTATTATTATTAATTTTATTAAATTTTTCTGTTTTTATAAAAATTACCAAGTCAAAGTCAAAAATTTCCATTGCTAGTCGGCTTTATCTATTGCAAAATTTGCCTCACTTTTTTATCACGCCATTACCACTCCAGTTTAGATGAGGTTTACTGCCCAGGACTGCAAAAGCTGCAAACTGCTAAGTATTTGTTTTGCGACATTATAAGATGAGGCACAAAATTTAACTTTATAAAAATCTATCTATTAAAAATGGCAATCGCAATGGCAAATTAAGCAACGCGTAAACTTTTTGCCGCATTTTGGACGTGATGTTCATGCTTCTACACCATACCAAACATTTCTTGTTCTAGCCCAGTGTAGAGATACATAGACAAATTTGCCAAACTTTAAGAAGATGGTGTGCCATTAGTTTAACAGTTTGTTTTGAACCTTCTAATATAACTAAATAAACATTTCGTTTCTAAGTTGAGTTGTAAAAAATGGGAAAAGTTCCATTCGGGTTAGTCCATTCAAATGAGGAACCAACATTTTAATATAATTTATTTTGAACACTTACAGACGTCAAACTACCCGTAAAATTGTGCGTACACACCCTTTGCTAAAGTCTATTCCTAAATGGTGGAGAGTAATAAATACGGAGGATTCTATTTTTCTTCAAGAAAAATGAGAAATATCCATCCTGGGCGCAATTTCGACGTAGCTTGGAAAAGAAAACGTATCCTTTCAATAAGTAGAACACTGCAATGGAAAGAATATCCTAGGGGAAAGCCTACCCATAAAGTGCTTACAGTACCGTCTCAACAATGCGGATCTCCATTAAACCGGATTCTTCGATAACTCGGGGCTTTCAATTGCATTGTTTATATAATCGGAATCTGCATTTAAAATGTCTACTTAATTAAAACTATTTATTATCTATAGGAAAACTGAAATTACTAGCAGGGGATTCCCCTAACTTCTTAAATTTGGCAGGGGATTCACATAAGCTTTTGGTTTACGTGCCACATGTGGCGTCTGAAGATTAATTGCATAACTGTTTAGTTCAAAATGTCAATGTGCCATGGGCATTTAGATTTAGATGCCAAATGTGATTGCGGTCGTGTCTCTAGAAAAACTTTACGATAAGCTGCAGAATGGAAACACATATGTTTTTATGGTTCTGTAAGCAACGATAACGGAATTTCTTACGAAATTTTACCTGACAAAGTTTTTTTACTGAATTCTACAGATATAAAACGCAGATATATTCGAAAATGCTGCCTGATAAAACGTTGATTCATTCTCAGGAGAAGACTGCACCAGGTCATTGCTGACGTTTCACAGAAATTGTTGTTGAATATTAAATCATCTGCCAATGCATGAATGACTACAGCAATTTTCGTATTTTGGTTCTATGAATCTTTTATTTATTAAGTCAAAAGTCATTTAAATTTGTCTGAAGAGGCTGCTAAGTGCCGATGACAAACTGACAAAACTTATTTTTTCCTAAAAGTCTGTCTCTGGCCATATTTTTTGTGTAATAAAGAAGAAAACAACATGGTGGACGCTGTATGTCTCATATGCAATGCTTGGGATAAAGTATCCCAGGAAGTCTTGAAGACGTGCTGGCATAATATTATGGCTCACATTGCAAATACCAAATCAGACACTGAATTTGACGCTGAAGATCTGATTCCCCTCAGTGAATTGCGATGCTTTCTTCTAATGAAGAAATGTAAGGAAGAAACTTACTTGCTTTTTTGTTAATTCATGTGTATTTAGAGATGGTTCAGATATGCTGAATGCTCTCCCTGACCAAAATCTTAGGATCTTGGAAATATATAATTGGCTTGAGTGTGATGAAGATTTCTTACCACTGGAAGACATATATGGTGTTGCAGATGAACAACATGGGAGTGACAATGAATTTCAGAATTAAATCATACAAACCAGAATGTTAAGAATGATGCGGCAGTTAAAAGAGGAAAATAATGTTTCCCTAAATGATGTTCTTGTACTTCAAAGATTAAAAGAAACAGCTTTTATGATAAAACATTCAAGCAAATCAAAATTGCAATTTATTTCACAAAATAATGTACAGTTCAACGAAATATTTTCTTTTGAATATTTTTTACGTTTGTATCATATTTTAATTGCTCGCTTCAGTCATCTGAATTATTTATTTATTCGCATCATCGCGGTTTTAATTAATCCGGATTTGTAGCAGAAGTACGTAGTGATGAAAGAATCAAAAGAGTTTAAATCGAATCGGTGTACAAGAGATTAAGCGGGTACTAAACAGGATGAAAAATAATAAATCTTCAGGGCCGGGAGATATTCATATTGAACTAATCAATTGTGTTATCCCGATAGAAGTACCTCATTCAAGTTATGGCAAGCAATGGGACAGGAAAGAACTAGTAACCAGAACACAGAAGCCATAAAGAGAACACAGAAATAAGCGAAAAGGAAAGAGCGTGTAATATCTTCTCGACACCATTTGGAGCAAGATCTATGTAAATGGATGAAGAAATGTAAGAGTATCGACATAAATTTCAATTTAAAAAAAGTCAGATATATGGTTTGAAAATTTATTGAAGGAAAAAAATTGGATGTATAACTCACTACAAAAATTTAGGTGTAATAGTTACACAGGATGATTAAAGGAAAATAAAGCAAGGTTAAACAATTATCAGACAACTATACCGTAATCTATGAAATAGGAATATAAAAGGAAAACCATAATAAAGAAAATATATGAGACGATAGGTTGCTAAACTGAGGTTGGTCAATAAAATCATGCAGGACTGACTCATTCTCTAGATTAGGGCAAATACGAAATGAAGTTGTTGCACGTAAAAAATACCTTGTTCGATGAAATAGAAATAGAATAGAAACAAACTGCTCAGGTATGGGCAAATGCAACGAATGAAAGAGAATCAAATTCTGAACAAAGCCTTACAACGAGGAAGTAAGGGAACCTTTACGGAAGAACTGGGTTTAGAACACGAAAGCTGGACGGACAGAAGAATGAAGGATGATTAAATGCTAGAGTCCCAAAAAAGAGTTTATTAGCAATGGAAGATGTCTACGTGAATTCCGTTGATTTCGAAGGTTAAAAATATTTATAGTTATACGGAGTGAGTCAAGAAATACTTATTGATGAAATTAATATATTCGCAAATAGAAAAAAATCTTTACTATTTTTTAATTATTCGGAATTATTTTTTTTCTATTGTCTTTGCGATATAAAGAGATTGTTCCAATCGACAGAGGCCCAATAAAGTTTAAGGTTAGGAGTTCAAAATTAATATTATACTTAACCAAAGATTTCTGGTATTTACCAAATGTGATATTTTCAAGATAGATTATATAGGGCACCTGCTATTGTTCTAACAAAGCAATTCATTATTTAAGATCTTTCAGTGTATTTCTAAACTGTAGAAGCTTTTAATGTGTTTTATCGATTATATATCGATAATTTGACAGCGACTCTTGTTTAACATTGTTAATTATCGGCGAGGTCTTATTAATCCGGACCATTTAGAAATAGAATATAGTTAAGGTTCATGGTTCATAGAATCACTTGTGAAAAATGGCTATTCCGTAAAACAACCAACACGCATTTAAAACACTTATGTTAATAGTTATCATTAAATTGACTCACTGTTATACAGAGGGTGATTTATTTTTCTGAGTACCTAAAAGAAAAAATGTAAAAAAAAAACGAAAAGTTAAATCAACTAAAAGTTATCAAACTGATGTTTTAAACGATAATCATAAAATAAAAAACCTAAAAGCAGTGTTTTATACTGTCGTCTCAAATTGTAATAATTGTTTAGTTATTACAAATATAAAAAAACAGTTATTGGAAAATGATTTTTAGAACTAAATGGAAACAGAACTTTTTCTATTCTTTGACAAAATATTTTACGTCATTTTATAATGCATTAGAAAATTTACTAAAGCTCCAAATCCCCCCTAAATTGTGGAAACATAATTACGATAACAGAATCCTCGTATCAATAGGGTGTTTCAGAAACATGGCGCTTTGTTAAATAAGCAACCAAGTATTTTTTCCTTATTCTTGTCTCATTCCACATCTTCTAAGGAGATTTATTTGATTTTGCCTGCGAATGCTCGAGTGTAAAAAACTTAAAACTAAAGGAGCCCACAATATTTTTGCGTAAAATGACTTTCTAGCAATTTTTTCAAAAATGTAATAAATTGTAGATCTCCTTCCGAGATATCGGTGCTCAAAGTTCAAAGCTGGACAAAATAATAAAAACCCCAATTTTTTGACAATTTTTTTGTGGAAGGGTTTTGCTTCTTGTGTGATCTTTTTAATCTAAAAGTATTTTTTTTTAAAGGGTGACATTTTTTATATATCGATAGCCATGCTTGCAACATGTATTGTTCACTTGCGTGATATACTCTTTTATGAATGATCTTCATGAATAATTTAAGTAAGTGACTCTTGAGACTAATAATCCTATAATCGTCGCATTTCTTTGACGCTGATATGGTAGGTAACGTTTTAGATTCTGATTTCAGCCAGTTTTTTGAGATTTTATCTGTTTGACAAATGCGGTTGAAAATATTGCAGTGTCGCTAAAGAATGTTAAAGTTTCAGAAGCCTTTCCGTGTTTCATTTGCTTGATTGCTAGTTGGACTTTGTGGAGTTTTCCATCCTTTGAGATATTTATCAAATTTGGAGTACTTGATGGCATCTCCATTTTCGAGTAAGAGATCATTTTATCCCCATATATTATGTTTTTGTTGTGTTTACTTCGAGGCACCACAATTTGTACTGTTCGGCAAGTTTTCGTCTCATGTAATTTAAATCATCGTAGTCTTGAGGTTTCATCATCAGCAAAACATAGTGTACATAGAGTACGTCGATAGTATGGCATTTTTGTGTTCCAATTTTTCAAAGCCTGCCCTTTGATGCAGTGTTGTTTTTTTTCCTAGTTTGATCTTCATTACCGGTTGTTCATACAGGGTCTTTACAGCTTTAATGAGTTCCACATTGATATTAGATTTTTTCTTTATTAGTTGTATTATGAGAAATATGTGATTTAATTTCTGCTTATTCTTCTGCTCTCATATCCTGGAACTCCATGAACTTTTCCATATACACTATTTACTGAGCTGGTAACAACGAAACTCCAATAGTTCTCACATTATTTTTTGTCTCATTTTTCAGGGATTTCCGAATTGTTCATGCACATCCGAAACACTATCTTCAGATCCATATACAGTTCCATATTTGAGAAGTTCTCTTGGAATATTTCCTGGGCCAGTTGATTGTCCAATTTTCAATCCTTAGCATACTTACTTCCTCTACTTTTAATCTTATTAATGACACTGGTAAGATACTTCCTTTGTTTGGGCTCTCAGCATCCGAAACGTTAAACTCGGGTCTATGGACTACAGCATACTAAATTTAAAAAAGAAATGACCGAACGTCAATTTGCGTAAAAACTTTTTGGTACATGTTCCTGAATCACCCTTACCTAGCTCCGTCAATTATCGCATTAAATCTTCCCACACCCCATAACCCCCCAACTTAAAACCGCCCCTTCGGATAAAGCTTATTCGTTTTCAAAATAATCCCCTGATCCAGAACGTTATCGCTGCCCTTGACCCTGATTTGTTTGTGTGTGTGGTGGTGGCGCGGCATTTCTGACGCGATGTTGGTGATCTTGGTGTTTTTCCGGTACTTGTACCACCAGTACTCGAAAGCGAGGGTGACGCAAGCCAAACCTATCCCCACCAAAATCACGATGAACACGCCGCCTATGTTTTGGATGCTGATACCGTCCGACTGATCGTCGGCTTTCTCGCAAGTTCTCTTCTCTGGGTTCTTGTTCCACCACTTCTCCTTCAGTCGCTCGAGCTCGCGTCGGTTCAGCAACTGCAGGATCCTTGAAGAGAATTTCGCCCTGATTGCTTAACGACACTTGCGTGTTACATCGAAACATCCACGGGGACGGACAAGACATTTACAACCATCACTTGGACACCGTGTTTCTCTTCTTCAATACGTAGTTGATGCGAAGCAGCGAACAAACGTAAAAGCCAAAGCAAGCGGAAAGGCACACAAAACAAGAAAGGTTCGACGCGTTACCCGAAAGGGATTGCACATTTAGTATAGTATGAACAGGTATCTATCGAACTCAAGTTTGGTTGGTCAAGAACCGGCACGGGAGGAATTTGTAAAGTGTATTAGCTTATTATTAATTAACAAGCCTTTATTGAGAGGATATTATGCGTATCATCAGATAGTTAGAAGTTCACCCACAGAAACTGGAGACATTACTCTGAACACTTATCTGCTTATAAAATTCTTCATAAATCTAGTTTTGCTTTACTTCTAGAAATAATTCATTATTCTCGTAAAGAAATAGACCAAATCAACAAGACCCTTCTCTCTCTACATTTTAAAATTGCCCTTTTACATATCAAAATCACATTTCAAAATTTGAAATCTTAAAGTCAGCACTAATAATACCATCAAACTCTTCTCAATTACCACTCTGGTAAATGTATAACTTTCTGATGCGGAAAACTCAGTTCTTAAAAAAGGTTCCAACTTCGTCATTTCCCACGTAATATCCTAAAAGAGGACATTGTCTCAACTGTCGAGTGTGTTTCGAACAAATTGTCATCTCAAACATCTAATTGAAACCTCGAGAATCATTAAAGAATCAAAACCTCCTAAATCTATTATATCGAAGCCTGGAGCTTAGCTCTAAAATCTAAATCCGACATCGTAATCAGAAAAAAATTAAAAATATTCTTACAGACGGATCATATTGTCAACAGGATTACCCCTTCTATTTATTGTCATTCATTTCATTTCATTGAACAACTATAAACCATTGCATTAAATCCAGACGATGTTCTAGTTAGCTCTAGTTTCTTTACTGAAGTCGCTATTCATGATACTCTCATCATTGTTTTAGATATATTAAAATCCTAGAATCTGGAACCAAACTTTCTCATTTTAATTGAAAAATGCTTGTCTGGAATATATTTTTCTAGTTACTGTCAAATTTATGAACAAACCTCAGGAGTAGCTATGGGTTTTCAATTATCACAAGAAAGCCCTAGACATCTTCCATCTAAAACCAAAATTATGAAAACCTTTGTTATTTGGCTTCACGGTTATCATTAGTGATTTAAACCCTCTTCGATTGAACTGAGGTGGCTTTTACTTGATGAAAATCCATTTATCAAAATAAATAAGAACTAAAAGTTCAGATTTTCACGAAATTATATATTTTTACACGACAATTCTTTGGACAACGCCGTGTCTTTATCAAATGTAATATTTACAACCTACCTGCTACTATATATACGGAAAAATGACCATAAAACCTTAATTAATGTTGTGATAATTTAAGTTCAATAAAGCTTAGAGTTATTTAAATCTAATTGATCGTTAAGCAATACATTTGAATGTCTCATTTTGTTAATCTCCATGGCTTCCAATAAACTCAATTTTCTACTTTTTGTGGCCGTATGTAAAATATCAAAATTGTCGTCAAAAACGAGTTTTTACGTGTTTAAGTATGTAGCATAATTAGAATCTACACTATTGTTTTTAAACGCTGTTTTATGTTTATGTTCGTCAATGCGTTTCTTGAAGGATCTACCTGTTTGTCCAATATCAATTTTAGGACAAGATCCGCATTTCAGCCTGTACACACTTGATTTTTGAGATTTTGGATATTCCGTTTTATTGTTTTTCAAAAATTTTCCTATGTTGTGTTGTTAGTTCTGAAAGCTATTTTTAAACCACATTTTGACAAATGTTTTGAAATTTTTTACTAGGTTCTCCAATGTATGTAATTGTTTTAAATTGTTCGTGTTCTGTATTAGGTTTCGGATAAATAGAGTGTAATGTTGTCTGTATTTGTTTTTTATTTATAATTTTATCTATAATGGACGGATTGTAGCCGTTGTTCAGTGGAATTTGTTTAATGATATTAAGTTCCTTGTTGTAATTTTCTGTTGAGAGTGGCGTATTAAGAAGTCTGTGTATAAAAGAGTGAAATGCAGCCATTTTGTGTGTATAAGGGTGATTTGAGCTGTTATGTATGACTGTGTCCGTGTGTGAAGGTTTATGATAAATGGAAAAACCTAATTTGTTTTGCGTTTTCGTAATAGTTAAGCCTAAAAAATTAATAGAGTTATACTGTTCAATCTCGATAGTGAATTTTATGTAATGAGTTAATGTAATTTAAAAAAAAATTCAATTGTCTGTCCGTCCCAACAAAGCAAGCAAAGACATCATCCACGCATCTATACCACCATATAAAACTTTTACTTAAAGGATGTTCTAGTATGATATTTTCCAAATAATCCATAAAAATCTCGGCTAACAAAAGACTAAGTGGGTTTCCCATAATCAAACCTTCCTTAGAGATGTAAATCTGTCCATTAAATTCAAAATAATTTTGGTTTAAAGATACTATTTAGCAATCTAATAAATCTTGTTTCACCAATGGGTTAACCTGTTTCCGAGTTAGGGTAAAATCTGTTAAATCTATCACATCCATAGGTAGAATACTGGGAAATAAGTTTTGTACATCAAAAGACAATAGTGTTGCGTTAGAAGGGATTTTGATATCTTTAATTTTGATTAATTCAAAAGAATTTGTTATTGCAAATTTTGGATTAAAATCTGTGTGGAACTATAAAATATTTACTAATTTTGTTGAGAGTTTAACTGCTGGAGCTGTTACATAAGACACGACTAGTCTAATGGGCATATCTTGTTTATGTAATTTAACTAAAGGATATCATTTCGGCGGTTGTGGACTCATAATTGTTAAAAAATTAACGTTGAATTCGAAACTAATGTAATCTCCTATTCTTACAAACTTCCAAATAAAATGAGTCCGAAAGCAACCCAACTCTGTTCACTGTTGAAACCAGGATTACTATTTTTCCAAAAATCTCTCAACATTTCCGATCCGCTAAGGACAAAATTTTGTGTGAGATACTAGGCTAAAAAGACATGGAAGAGCCACAAATAAACTTATTACATAATAAAATCTTGCCGAATCAAATCAAACAAATCTTATTCAATAAAACTAAAATTCTTGCATGTAATCAATTCGTCTACCATAGAAAAATCCGAGATTAAATTGAAATCAGTCATCCGGGACCAATGTTCATGCTCCTCTTTTAGCTCCGCCCTCTCCAACAGTATATAAGAGGAGACAAGAGGATACAAAGTAGTTAAGCCCTGAAGAAGCCGACAAGATTATTGGCGAAACGTCAGCAAGTTTGATTCATCAATAACCGAAAAAGGAGAAGGTTTGTAAATAGTATCTATTGAAGTCATTGGTATTCCCAGCGGGTTGCCGAATGAAAGCAAGGATTTTGGCTCTACTTTGAAAACACTTGAAAACCCGACTTCTTTAGAGGAGCAAGTGTTTTTGAGACAAGCTTTGTGGAATGTTTTGCTATAATTTAGTAATTTTATCATTTATTTCCCTTTCTGTGACGGGAACAGGACTTGAAAATGTGGGTCTTTCTTCCCACGGACGAAACATCTTGTAGGTAACATCTATGTAACTATAATAACTATAACATCTTGTCGCAAATGAAGCAAAGTATATTTTTAAACCAAAAATCCTCTAGGACATAACTATTGGAATACATTTTCCGCAAAATTACTATAGGTACCCGATCCGTCTTTACAGATGCGGTAGCCGAACATATGCGGATTCGATAGATCGACCTTCATACTATACCGAATTTTTCTTAAATGTGTCGAAAGAGAAAATCAATTTCAAACTGTGTTAGAAATTTGGATACAAAAAATGTTATCAAACTGGCTAATAAAAAATGCTGGGAATTATTTCCGAGTTTTTGAAATGGCCGCAAGGGGGCGATATTCTCATCTTCATTTTTAAATCTCTCACTGTACGGGGTGATCCGTTATAAATGTCCGCCTCTCAACTTTTTTCCTAATTGGCATCCTTTTAAAATCATGAGAGTGCAGCACCTCACCTAGGAATATATTAATAATTTGTAGGCTAATGTTAGAAAGACATAGAAAAGCATAAAATTTTATGGACTGACGAATCTTCTTTTTCAACAACCGAAAAAGTTTACGCTGCCTCCAGATAATGTTGCACCAGACTATCTCAACAATAAATATATAGAATGGAATGGAAGACACGGAATAGCGATATGTGTAGTCAATAGTCCAGACCTTAAGGCTCTAGATACTTTTCTATAGAGTCATTTAAAAAGTAAAATTTATTGTCAAACAAATGTGATTTGTCAAAAATTTCTTCTTAAAGACGTCAAAACAAATAACGAAGCCACTAATGGAATTGCCATTTGGCTTGAATATCAAAAATAAAAGGCGAGCATATCATGATATAATATACAGAGAATACGATAAGAAAAAAATATGTAGAGAAATAGGAAAAAATAGTCAGGAAGGCAATAATTTAATAAAAGATAGAATTAGTTATAGCTGCAAGAAACCTTAAAAAATATAAGTATGTTTTATAATCAGTATAATAATTATTGTTACTCTTAATATAATATAATATAGTAAATTTTTGGAGAGTTTCATTCATGTACGTAGACACAACACTTCAGTAAACTTTCAGTTGTACTCTACAACCTTTGTTTTAAACTTTTTTTTCTAAAATTTGAAGGAAAAAAGTTAGGGAGGTGGACATTTATAATGGATACTTTGTTGACTGCTCTTTACTCTATCTCTGAAAAGGCTTAACGCATTTTCAGATATTAAAAATGCTCTCAATGAGTGAGGTGATTGCCATTGCTCACTTTACCACCAGATGGGATTTTCTGACATAATCTCAAAACAATTTTCTTTTACGTCATTACATAGTCAAGAAAGAAGCCAAAAATCCACCGCACATCAATATATTTCTACTGAAAAAGTCAAATGTGGGAAGCGATTTTAACTTTACGGGTTGTTATTGAAGTCTGGTTAATTTGTCATTTAGAATGCAAAATGGAAATAAAACTTCATTATTCATCTTTATTACCTTTCTTTACAATAACTTCAAAGGACAGAAAATTACCTCGAAACTGACATAATTGCTACGCTTATCACTTATTTTTCCATTAAAAATGATATCGGAAATTAACTAATTTTATTCATTTGAAGCGAATTATTGAATTGAAATGTGTATTAAAATAATCGGATTTTTTTTCGATCCTAACTCCTAGACACAGTATTACAATAAACTCGCACAGTTTGAAAGTCTTAAACAAAATCACAGTGAATAGTTAAAATATTAAGTGAATTTAAAATGATAATCAAACATGACAAATAACGACATGAATGATGCGTTTCATCAGACAAAAATACTAGAAAACTAGAATTGAATGATTCCTTGCTGAAGAGATATTTTATTCTTTTCCTAAATGATTTTGCACATTTTTTAAAAATGACAATAAGTAACACCAACTGATGTGACTGAGATAGTAATTTTAAATAACAAAAAAATTCAAGACATCATGCATCATCATTGGACATTCTAAATAATAAATTGCCATTTTATTAGGTCAAATACATTAATGACAACCCTCGAAGTTCAACTTTTTTTGAGTATTATGTTCTTTCATATTTCATATTTAATATTTTAGTTTGGAATAAAGATATTGAAGCACGATTTTCATTGAGTTATTGGACTCTTATTTCACTAAGTAAAAAAAATCACTTTTTCAGACATTTCCAATTCCAATCGCCTTTATGCGTGGTACGACAGCTTACAGCTTAGAGGTCGTTAGTCTAGACGGTGGACAGAAATCTCCTGAGTCAGTAGGAATAAAAATCTCTAATGAATTTTTAAATTTCTTTAAAATATTGTTTGTGTAAATGAAGTGATTTTTTTTTGCAATGCTTGACTCTTTCTGCATATTGCAACGTCCGACGGAAATAAAAGTAGTTTAGCTGGAAAATCCCTCCCTAAAATCACCAAGTTAAGTCTGTTGGTATTATAGATGTTTGTTTTCGAAAATGTTCGATCACACTCACGAATAAAATTTAAAAAAATTAAATTGTTAGTTTCAAATTAGTAAGCCGACAGTCAGCCGCAAATTTTCTAGAAATCGGGACTCTAAACTCGAAAATAATATCCAGCACAATCTCTTTTACTTTTACTTTACGTAATACATTTTCTGTTGCACTTAATGGGACATCCGGTATAATCTCGTTCGTCCGTCAGACTACTGAACCACCGAGAAATCACACAGGAGAACTTACGCCGTATTGAACTGATCCTTGAGCGGCGAACCTTGTTGCACGGCTATGGCGTAGGGCTTGCGAGAGAACTCTTCGCCGACAATGGTCAGATCGCAATTGGTCATCTCTAGATATTTGATATCGGTCGCATCGCCGAGAAAGGCAAACCCTAGAGAATCCAGAATGTAGTAAAGCATTATGGAGTTGCTCGTCTTAGCACTCACCCTCAGAGGTGGACATTGACTTTTTCACCCTGCTCACAGCTTCCTCCAGCGTTTTCGGCAGACCGGCCTCTTTCATAGCTTGCCACATTTTCGTGTATTTGTCCGAAACAGGGTAGTCCCATACGGCCAGCTTTGCCCTCTCCACGTCGGACAGGCTGTCGTTTAAGCTCATGTCTTTCCAGATTCTATAGAAAAAATAGCTTTCCGTGCAACAAGAAAAAACGGCCCATTTTGAAAGCTGCCACACTAACGTTAAAATGCTGGTCTCAGTATCTCTTTATTTATTTAAAGCGAAAAGAACTTTTTGAAATTTTGTTGGTTATATTTTGTTGGTGTTAGAGTCTTCTAAAATTTTTTTTCTTTTCTTTAATATGCCCTACTGAATTAACAATAAGCAATTAATTAAATTGTATGCAATTTAAACGTCACAGCTTACGTGATGTTAAATTGTTATGTCTAGATTCCTCCTGCATTGGTTGTTGATAAATCGAACTTGCCGCCAAACATCCTGTTGGCTTCCTTAATCTTAAAACCAGATTTACAATTTGTTCAAAAATCTCTCAATAAACTCAGAGGCAAAATTTCTTTCGAGATACCAGGAGTTTACAGCGTTTCATGTATATGCGGCAAAAGGTTGGAGAAACAGGACGACAAATATTAACTAGGCTAAAAGAACAACATCAAAGTAAAATCCGACAATCTATAAAAAACTATAATCAAAAAAACAATCTTACCCGCGACTGCAATCTCTACCTTTCACAGATATAGGAATCATCAGAGATAATGTGTACGCTCCTCGTTTAGCATAGTCCCTCTCCAACAGTATAGAAACAAGAACAGAGTACAATGCGAGCCGGTTTCAGTTAATCTCTGAAGAAGCAAACAGGATGATTTTCGAAACGTCAACAAGTTCGATTTATCAACAACCGATATTTTTTTAGTTAATTTGACATTTAAAAATAGGTTTGCATTCATTAAAACGCATTTGTTTAAGGTCTTCGAACAACAATTTCTGAAAGAAATGTAAATATCACTAGTCATAGAAATGGATGCAGCCAAGGGGACATTCATCGGCGGTTGAACGTATCATTACCATAATGAATACAAAAATTACATCTTCAATGAAGATGATAAACAAATAACAGACGCGTAGGATTGGATTTCGCTAGCGAGTATATTAACTTCTTTGGGCAAATATTAATGTGGAGAAAGGCTAATAAATATTCTTTCCATTGATGGCAATATTTGGATATATTGAGGCAGCATCTCCTTGCTAGTGCCCAAAAATTAAATATTGATGACAATTATAGGTATATATATATATATATATATATATATATATATATATATATATATATATATATATATATATATATATATATATATATATATATATATATATATATAAACACCAGCCCAGTCGCCAGACTTAAATGTTATTGAGAATTTTTGGTTGACATTAATAAATAAAGTATATAGAGGTCCAATGTCTAACAAAAATGAATTAAATGTTAAAATTACGGAAGTATGGAATACAGTTTCCCCGAACTATATTAGAAAATTAATTGAATCGATGCTCAGAAGGCTAATTGGAGGTCATACTTCATATCGGGTAGTGTTCCTTCGCTAGTATTTTTCTTTAAATATATTATTTATGGTTAACTAAGTATATTTAAGATAAGATTTAAGACTTTACTAACTTAATTTCAATAACTAGTTTTTTTCTAATTAAATAAAGAGTCGGCGATACGAATTTGTTTTTAGTATAGCGACTGTAACATCATAGACATTTCATATACAGTGTCGCACACTTAAAACCTTGAAAAATCGTTGTTTAATAATAATATACTTTATTCAGGTAATTTCGACAAGAAAAATTACAAGAAAAGGCAAGAGTGCAGCGCCCAGACGTATCTGCTTGCTGATTTCTACACTTATCCTTAGACATAACATCACACCATGGTTTTAATTAATGTTTACAATTTACAATACGTTAAGTACCCACTTAATTATATAACAGAATGAAAAACCTAAACCTACCTTTGTAAATAAATAAACTATTAGCTAAAGTACTGTAAGTACCACAAATTTTTACAGATTAGTTAGATTCCTCCTGCGCTCTGTAACTTCTCAATGTTTTTTTTTTCTTTTTTTTCTCTTTAAATTCTAGCATAACATACCTAACATAACCACGTTTTTAGTTTATTTGGAAAAGAATTTATTGTCGCATTCTGAACGGAAAGGGGCAGGTCATTATGTAGTTTAGCCAAATCGTAACTGAAAGATCTTTCAAATATACCAGATCGGTAACGAGGAACTATGATCCCTTTAAATCTTAGATTTAAGTTATTCACGTCTGTTCTAAAAGTAATTTTTTTCGGAGAGCTATTCCGGATATTTTGTCTCAATTATGTTGAAATAAAGACAACAGCGGTGGATCAAGCGCCGCGTCTTCATGTTCGTCCAACCCGCTTCCTTCAGCTTGTAGCTGATAGGTCTTCCGCGGAGGATGCCGTAAATAAACCTCAAGCAGCATTTTTGAATTTTTTCAATATGTTGTGACGAATTAGCTGTCAAACAATTCCCATATACGACATCACAGTGATTAAACACGGAGAGAACAAGAGCATCGCATAAGATTTTTTTAAGATTTCGAGTTAGAATATGCCTTGAGCTATACAACCCTTTTAAACGGCCAATAGCCCTTTGCATACAAGTCGAAATATGCTTTTCAAAGCGAAGTCTTGTATCTAAAAGTAATCCCAAATTTTTTGCCTCGTTTTGAAGAGGAAGAGTAATATTGTTTATTTTTATGATTACTTCAGAAGCAAGACGCTTAACGTTTATTGTTCGATTTTGTTTTTTTTTTGTTTGAAAAAAAAAACGTAAAATCATGCTCAACTGAGTCTATTTAACAAAAGGAAGAGTTACCAAAATTAAGTCATAAACAAACATTCTACAGAAATAGTACTTAAGCGAGACGCCCGAGATAATTTCGAGCACCCTGTATTCGAGCTTAATGGAAATTAGTATAGTTAGGTTTTAGGTAGTCCTGAATAAGAATTCGTTGACACTTTATTCTTAAAGAAATGGACTTGATTTCAGATTGATACAATAAGCAACACAAGGTTTTGGAAAAGTCTATTATATACCTTATTTGATCCTCAAACGTCTACACAAATCGAATACCGACGGTGATTATAAATTCTTTTTTATTAATAACTTCTCATTTATATCCTTATGTCCGATTCACTTTGCTATCCCTAACCATATCATCCTTATCTTAACACTCAGTTGTTTTCACTACAGTTTTCAGTTCTGCCAAAAAGCTATCAAATTTTGATCTTCCTCCCCTCCTTCGTAAGTAACATTTGTCTGTGGCGTATTGTTCTCAACAATAAATTTATTGACTTACTCGTAGAATCTGGCCTCTATGTCAGCCATCCTCTGGAAATAGGTCATCGTCGAACCTCCTTCCACCGGCGCGTACTGGATCTTGTATTGCTTCGACAGGTCGTCGAGGGACTCGATAGGCGTATCCAATCTGGAAACGGTGAGAAACGCGGCCAGGTTAGCTGTGTAGGACGCTATGATGATGAAACCGAAGAGCCACCACGTCGCAGCCACCAATCGACCTTTGGTCAAACAAATACGAGTAAAAATGGCTAAGTCGAGCTGACCAAGCAATTTTGACGTACCCGACAGGTTCTTGGGAGCCTCGCCGCCACCTTGGGGTGTCAAAGACGTCATACAGAACCACAAACATTCCTTTAGATTAAACTCCCTCTTCTCCTCGTCGTCCTTGTACTTCTCCCGATTGTTCTGGTAGCTGTACGGCGACCAACGGTCGAACACCCACATGAGGAAACTACCAAATGCACCCAAATCTTTTAAGTAATCCCTAGAGTGATATTATCTCCATACTGACCTGGTGAAGAAGTAGGCAGCGAGAATACAAAGCCACACTTCCGTCTCGAGCACCGTCAGGAACTTGAACAGAGATGTTGGCGTTTCTGGCACCTTCATCAGAATAGTGATGCCCACCAGGTCGTAGTAGGGGACCGTGAAGTCGATGACGTTTTCCCGTTCCGCCATCACGGACATGGAACCCAAGCCGATGTCGGCCTTTTTGTCCATCAGGTCCTGTATGATGAAAGTGTAAAGGCGAGTTTGGTTAGTACTGGTAATTGATCAAATTGTAAGGGTAGGTCGTATGAGAACAGAAACAAAACCCTCTGTATATTTTATCGGTATTTAATAGAACAGGTTATTCTGATTATTTCCATTATATTGGTCACTTGTTTTCAAAATATTGGATAAAATAGGACAAAAATAAATTAAATTCTTCTACTATTCGAAATATTGGATCACCACAACAACAACATATTAACCAACTGGGAGAAAAACTGCCTAGTTTTTTGGACTTTGTGTTGGGAACGTTAAAGTTAATTTACATCATTCGGTATTAATAAGTAAATATTAATAAGTAACTTCCATGCGGTTTCCAAGATATGTCGTATATGACGAATCACTAGTAAATTTATTGCAAAATGCAGGTTGAAAGAGTGAGAGAGAAGATAATTAAAGTAAGAAATTTTAAGTGCCTTCATAGGGAACACTAAATGTCCTATATGTACACATACTTCCATCCCTGAAGGACTACACAAATATATCTATATAGTAAGAGACATGCAGTTGGCGTGCCAATCCGACCAGCCATCACTTCCTTTTTTAATTATGTTGCCATTGCGAAAAAAATTGACACTTTTTAACAGTAATTTTTCAATATAATTACCACAAGCTAATTTAAGACTATTTACACATCTTATGGTTTCCTACTGCATTTTTCTTTCTTTTTCTGCAGTTTTCGCAAATACGTGTATGGGACGCTTTCTGGGTGATACTTTTGTTATTTAACAGCATGACCAAGTATCCTTCCGCGATTTTGTTACCGGTTTAAACTCTATACACCCCAACATCAATTTTACTATTAAATTAGAAACTAATAATTATCTCACATTCTTAGATATTTATCAAACTAACATTGAGTCATCCTGTTTGCAGAAAACTTAGGCACACAGACAGAACACCTTAATACATTGTCACATCACCATCCGGCACCAAAATCATCGGTTACCAATTCTCTTGTTTACAGAGATGAAACTATCTCAAGCCGAGTCGCTGAGTTCAGAATTATAACATTTAAGATCTGCTCTTCTCTCTAACATTTTCGACTTTACAAATACTAAGCGGTTCATCAAGAAATACCCTTCAATACAACTTCCCAAAGAAAATGAGTATGAAAGCAACCCCATCCTTGCCACCATAGTCCTTTCTTACATTCAAGACATTTCAAAAGTTCTTAAGAAATATAATGTTCAAATCAGATTCTGTTGTTCACAGTATTCCATGTATACACGGGGAAGAAACAGAATGAGAAATATTCACTAGGTTCTAGGAAAGAGCTTTAAGACTACGACAAATAAACCAATCAGCAGTTGCCGACTTCAATACATCGAACCTTATTCAGCAAACTAAAGTTCTTCCATGTAATCAATTCTTCTAACAAGGAAAAGTCCTAGAATAGCGACTTTCACACTGAAGAAGTCAACAACATGATGCTCACCTTGACAATCCCATTCCATTTACCGTTTTCGTCCATGTTACCGAACAGCCCATCGGAGACTGCTTCGATCTCGTAGTCGAAATGCAAAATGTCCGCAATTTCATCGATGAGGTCGATGCAGTACCCCGTGAACCCTTTCGGTGCCTTCTCGTCTCTTATTATAAAGGGTTTTTGCTGAAACCATCAACGATAGTTTTTATGGCTTAACCCGTTACGTCACCATCCGCCCCACCTCCACTGTCACGACCTTGTACACCACATCGGCAGTGTAGTTGGCCATCACCTTGGGGTTGTTGAGGGTAAGATTGTTATCGAAACCGGCCTGCCACACTCCCAAGTTCAGCGACTTGTCGGAAGACCCGGAACGGACGTAGACGGCTGCAAGGGCCATCTGGAACTCCATGTAGGACAAACCGTTGGAGACTATTTTGAATGGACCGTAGGTAGGGGGCTCCGTGCTCTCCTGAAAATCGACTGCTGCTAGTAGATAGTAATTGTAGGCGAGGCGGACACTACCTTTTCCAAATACTTTTTCAACTCCAATCCGTAACGTTTGGGACTGTTTTTTTCGTCATAGTCGTCGCACGTGACGAAATTTGTCACGTTGTTTTTCTTCCAAGAGCCATCCGTCAGCATTTCCCTGAAGGGGGGATGTAATAGTTGTTTTGGAAATATCCATGCATTGAAAAATGTTTATTGTATTTTTTATTGTTTAACTAATTGACTGATTGTACTAATAATAATAATAAATAGTAATAAAACTTGTGGTCAAAAAGTAGAGGTCGATGCCGAGTTCCTTTTTTTTAAATTCTTTGTTAAATTTCACTCTTTATTCACCTATCTCTTGTTAAATAAATAGTAATAAAACTTGTGGTCAAAAAGTTTATATCGATGCCAAGTTCCTTTTTTCTAAATTCTATGTTAAATTTCACTCATAATTCATCCATCTCTTATTTTGTCTCTTACTATTTACAAATCTTCTGGATTCCTATACAATGTCTAGAATTCTATAAACTCAGAATTTGTTTTATATAACTCTGTATCATTAGAAATTTGTTCGAATAAAATCCCTTTACTTCTAATTACTAGTTTTTTTTTTGCAAAAACGACAAATTTATTTCGTTAGTATATATATACAAAGACAAGCAAACGAAGCGCACTTCTATGTGAAGGTAACACCTCGATATTGTACAAGGTGTCCAGTATAAGATGAAGTATATGGGTATATTGGAAACTGTAAGAGATACAGCGTCGCTTAAATGGAAGAAAAGTAGCGTATGTATATACCAAAAGAAAATCTAGCTTTGTTTTATTTTAAATCAAGTGAGGTTTGGATTTAAAGTTTGGTTCGGTATTTTGGTTAGTTTTGGTTAGTTAGTTAGTTAGTTGAGTAGCCACAAAATTGGACCATAATTTTTCGTTGAGAACTTAAATTCTAAAAGATTGTCCAAAGAAACGTAACAGAAAATATTATGAACCTTCTACTAGCGGCTCCGCTAAAAATGCTTTTCCAACCAGACGGCGCACCTTCACACAATGTGTGAGATCCCTAGACATATCACTTGATTTTTTTTGTATGCGGTTACCTCAAAAATCAAGTATACAGTAGGTCCTATGGAAATGTTGGAGAATTAAGAGAAGCTGATACAGAATCTGTTAACAGTATCACTCCTCCACTAATTATTTAAATGTGTTTTAAAATTGAATATCAGTATTAAAGCGTACTATCCTCAAGCATTATTTTTATTTTGACCAAACGTAAATGGTTGAAAAGCATTTTTAAAGGGGATTTTGAAAATATAGAAATTCAATATGGCACCCATAAGAAAATCAAAAGTTGACTTCGGCCGTACGCAATATAGTAGGCCTGAATTTTTTTGAAGCCATTTTTAACATCGCCGCATCCTTTTACAAAATTTTAACATTTCAGCTACTATAATAAGGAAAATATTGTGGTTTTTCATAAAATGACACCTTGTATATTCGTTTGTTATATTGTAAAAACGCTCTTAGTTATTGCAGTCAGTTTTTAACACCGCTCTCTCCAACCGAAACCGATTTCTAAGTGGACAATTAACCAGAATCTTCTTGGAGCTTCTGTGAAATCCCCAATAATGGAATGCTCGAAGTTTTTGGACCCTTTGACTCTTAGAACAAAAATTCAAATGAACCTTCAAGTGAGGGAACAAAAAACAAACAAAGTGAAAACAGCACCGATCAAGGAATCTCAGAAGATTTAATTGGATGTTTTTTTAAATCCAGGGCGAACAACATAAAACCTTAGGACGGAAATAGTGACGTTAAATAAATTTATTCCCAAGTGTGAAAGATTAGCAAATTCCTATGTCAATCTAGGAGACACGAAACCATAACCATACCTTTGATTGTATAATAGACAAACTAGTGGGGAAAGCAGAGTTAATGATAGGGAATCCATCAGAGTTCACCGATTGGTTAAATATAAAAGATGCACTTGTTCGATGCTTTGCGGGTAAGAGAAATTTCGATTCTCTAATTCAGAAATTAACTAGAAAAAGACCGAACTAGAACAATTCGTTGATTTCAATAGTAGGCTACAATTAGGAATTTATAAGAAACTAAAAACTTTTGCTGATGAAGACACCAGAAAACTGTCAAATAGAAATAAACAGAGAAAACTTTTCCATTGATGTAAAAACCTCCCGTTTTACTGAAAATCCAGTTAACGGAAATGAACGTAATGAACACTCCCAGCCATTCAAAAATCAATTTTGACGAAATATACCAAAGAATAAATTCCATTGAAATAGTGAAAGAAGAAACGAGTACATTCCAAATCATTGCTTATTGTTTCTTATCCAAAGGAAGAAGGTCTTCTTGGTAGAAGGAAGAAGAAAATCGAAGAAAATTACTTACAAGGCAAGCAAAAAAGCGCCAAGAAGAAAAAAGACAGCTTTTTGAGGAAACTGACTTCGCACTAAAAAAATTATATATTTGTGTCAGCCAGTTCGAATAAAACTTTATTTCGCTTTCTGTGTTAATAATAACGTTTTGAAAAAGCTCTCCCAAATTATTTATGTCGTTAAATGCATTTTTGGTATTATTTATTAACTCCGAGTAGCTCGTTCAACTAAAAAACGAAATAAATAAAAATGGAAGTCTAGGCAATCAAACGTCGTAAATGTTTTTGGATCTTCTTGGGAATCTGGAAATTGTCTGTTACTTTTAATTGACCTTTGCTGCAGTTAATAGTTTATCATTTTGTTTCTCTATTTTTTTTTTTGGGTTAATTAGCTATACATCAAGTCTATGTTTAATATCATTAAGTTTGAACCATTTTGTAAAGTTCCTATTTTTTTCATTGAAATTATTTATCTACTGATTCATTAAAGTGTTCCATCTAATATCGGCATCTAAAAGGTCAGTCTTTCAAGGTTTCTATGCTAGCTTTTTTATAGACACTGATCTGCCCACTCATATGGGATAGCAGCTAAAACATATTATTTCTGACTCACTTGACGGCCAGAAATGATCTCAACGCCAAATCGAAATAGAACGCGGCCTCAATCTCAGGCTCGGCATTCAACTGGAACGACGTCTTGATCGTGCCGAGCCGGTCCTGATACACCGCGTCTATCTGCGGCCTCGCAAACAAAATGGTGGCGTTTTTTATGTTGCACTTCAGATCGCCTTTATCCTGAAAATCCGCAACCCTTATTACCCCTCAGTTCCGCAGAGTCCAAAGCCCGTACTTGAGTGATGACGTGCCAAGCGAACTTCCTGTTGAACAGGTTCTCCAGCATGGCCGCTTCCAGGACCCTCTTGATGCTACCGAGGCTGCCCAGGACGAAGAAGTTTTTCAGGTCCAGTTTGGTGAGGTCCCTGAGCTGCAGTCCGATCTGCTTGTCGTCTTCATTGATTTGGTCCAACAGGTGACGCGTTGCGACGTTCTGAAGTAGTGATTTGTATTTGTGGTCCATCACTGCAGAAAAAATATCACTGTTGCACTATTCAGGTCCTGGTTATTACTAACTTAAAGGTCCTTGCCAAGTAGCAAAATGATGGCTGACGGTATGTATTCTGTTTATCCCAATTTGGTTACAAGCTCACAGTTTTTAAATTTTCTGTATTAAATTTGATTTATTGTGGTTAACTAAAAGCAATTTCGGGGGTGTTTTGTAACTTTTAAAGCACGAATTAAAAAAAGCTTTTTAGTTGCTAAAGGAAAAAGATTGGAAGATCGATATATGATTATTGCCATTGCAGTGTGCAACATATGGATTTTTTTTTTGCTAACTGCACAACTAAAATGCTGCTATTGGCAAGACTTGGTGCGTGTTTTTATTAGATGCACTTAAAATATTTGCAAGTCCAACAGTGGACGGGTAGGATAAGAAATACAAAAATTGCACATTATTTCATTTTTAAAAAATTGAACAAAATAATATCAAGAAAAGTTTGTTTAGAATTAAAAGTTATGCAAAACAGGACTTACCAAGAAAAAAAAGTTATTTGTTCCAAAAATATGAATAATTCCTTTATTATTATTTTAAATACTGCTGCAAATTATTCAAAATCAAACTAATTTAGCAAATTTGGTTTCCAAATTCATCTTGTTTGTAAAATTTACGTATATTTTTAATTTTTTAAAGAACCACAAATTTTATAGAACTGAGGTGACTTTCACTGAAAATGAAAATCCGTATCTAAATAAGAACCAAAAATTTCAGTTTTTTACAGTTATTTACTGGCGTTTGCCGATACATTTTGAATTTATGAAAATTAATGATTGGTATGTTTTTAATTTTTCGCCTAAGCCGCTTCTATTTAATTTTTCTACCTTAAATGGATGTTTATATCAAATCGGTGCAGAAATTTATACTTAGGATTTTTTCTCGAACCATCCAGAGGGACTCGGTTGGACAGCAACGTTTCCATTGACAAATGATCTGAAATTAACACGCCAACGCTAAAATATATTTTTTTCTAATTTTGCGTTTTTCTCTCTGGCTATTTTTTCTCTAAAATTCTTAGTTCTAAAGTTCTTGCGAATAAACGAATAAACTTAATCAAAGTACCCTCTCAAATAGCAGCTTGTCGGTAAGCTGTTAAACGTTAAGGTTCGTTTGCTGATCGACTATCGATGTCTCGCAAACTTTGTTCTGCCTTATCTACCTTAAATAATTCAATTCGACCAAAAATCTTCAGATTTTCACAATTATGGTTTATGACAGGTGTTTCGCCAACAACGTGTCTTAATCAAATACAAAATATGACCATATTCCTACCTCTATATATATAACCAGGTTGTAAGATATTTTTAATTACCGTTTTAGGGTGATAAATTAAAATTTAACAACTGAGACCCATTTGAAACCAATTAAGTAATACATTAGAATATCTGGTTTTGTTAATCTTCAATCTAGTTGGAATCCGAACTTTTATTTTTATATGCTCATTTATATTCGCTAATGCGTTTCTTAATGTTCTATCCGGATCTTTGAGTTTTTCGTGATCTAATTTTATTGTTTTTTAAAAAATTTCCTATGGTGTTTTCAGTTTTAAAAGCAATCTTATAACAAAATTTAGATAGAATTTTTCTCGTTGGAGTCTAACATGTATTTTATTGTTTGAGTTCGGTATTTAATAAGGTTTGGATTGAGTTCAGACTTATTTGAACTGTTTCTTAGTTATAATCTTATCTGTCAACCGTAACTATTGTTAAAAGCTATTACATTTATATTTAATTATTTTTCAAAATTTTCTGTGGAAAGTGGTATATTAAAGTACATGAGTATGAGGGTGATTTGAGTTATTATGTTTATACTACTATGATTAGATATGATTAGTTATAAACCCATTCATAATAACACATTCAAAATAAATCAAGTTTTATGTAAAATAATAATTTTCACTCAATGAATGCAAAAGGTAAAGATGACTTTAGAGTTCCTTATGCAAAATATAATAGTTCTCAAAAAATCCCAAGTGTAAGTGGTGTGCGATTTTTAACCATTTGATAAAGGAAATAAAGATGTGTGATAATCTATGTTTTTATGATTATAATTATTGTTAGTATAGTAGTTTAAATATAGTGTCTTTCTTCCTTACTTGTTTATAGGTTATTATAGTCTCCTATACAAACATTGTATCTGTCGATTTGCAAAAAATAAAGATTGTTGTTAATATTATTATTACTATTATAGTTCGGAAACGAACTTTAAGACCGGAATTCGACGCACTCACCGAACGAATCGTCAAACAAAATGGCAGCGTTGGTGATATTTTGATTCAGCACAAGCGTGCGGACCAATTCGGGAATGATATCCCCCGGAGGAGAAATCTGCACCAAGTAGTCCTTCTCGTTCTCCTTCAAGTTGCGCCACTGTCTCAAGTCGCCCTCTTGGCCGTAAGAGGCCGTCACCGTCGGCAAACCTAACGCTGACGAGAATGACTTGACGGTTTCAGCCGCTATCCCAGTTTTAGTGGTGTCCAGTACGAGGTGGGGATAAGTTTGGGACTCTAGCATTTCACCGTATCGCTTGCAAACTTGAAAATACAAGACATAGCGTAACACAAGGAGTATTATTAAATTATACGAATATTTAACGTTTTATGTGGTAAGTTGATCTGTTACAAAGAACTAAACAGAATTAAATAAACATAATGAAAAGTAAAAGTAAAGAAATGAGAAAATGATAACAATATAAACTATTGAACAATAAAGGCTATTAAATATGAACATAAGACTTGCGACATAAACATCTGATATCGCTGACCCTTCAGGTATATATTAACCCCGTAAGTGGTTTTTTAGGTACAAAATTTCGCCCTGGTTATATGCAACTAGCATTACACCTGTAAGTGGTCCCATAGGTGACCTTATAAGAAAGATTTGTTGCAAATGTTCCAAAGGTTGCAGTTTTCTTGATTTTTCGTCTGGTATTACAGGAAAATAATAAAATATGTGAATCGTGCCTGTTAGTATACTTTGTGACAGGTAAGTTAAAATAATTTAAAGTAAAATTAATTGTTAATTAATTAATCCTAACAGGTAGATGAAGAAAATGTCCAACCCAAAAATATTGGGTTTTTTGCTGATCTTATTATTGGTATAAAATAAAACTGCGATGCTGAAGATTCCTTGCTTTTGTCTAGAATAGGTGGTTAAAAGCAAATCGCACATGTGTTACTCTAATGCAAGAGTTTTGTTATCCATCTACAACAAGTTGTGGTGACACAAGCTGCGACCCTGAAGATTCCTATAAATAGGATTCAGATGATTGTATCAAAGATACGAACTTTTGTCCAAATTCCTACAGCAGTACCAGAACAGTTTTCAATTTGGAAAGCGATTCCGAATTATACGATTTTGAAAACTCTAATAGAACCGGAAAGTATCGATTGTACTTCAAACACAGATACATATAGTTCAGAAATACCTAACCCAAAAGAGGAAGAATTAAATTACACATTAGAACGGGGCAAGGCGAAAACAATACGAAGCTTTTTTATTTTCGGAGAGACTAGGCGATGAATATTTTGAACTTCTTTTCCGATTCTATTTTCGCATTAATTTTGGAAGAAACAAATAAATATACAAAACAACGAGTGGTCAATTTGAACTTAGAATTAGATGAGCTAAGACCTTTTAAGGCTTGTTAAGTATTATGTAGTTTCATAGACTCAAAAGTATAAAATTAAATTAGTTGCAAAAATTAAGGTCACATAAAGCACGTCCCTCGGTGAAACTTCTAAATGAAAATTTTTGTTATTTATATGAACCATACAGAAACCTGGCGATTGATGAAATGCTTCAAAGGGCTCTTTAAGGCTGTATATGCCAATGAAGGCCACTAAGTGGGGTTTCAAGCTGCGCGTAATTGCTTGCTGGGTATACCTTGGGTTTCAAAATTTATGAAGGTAAGGTAATAAGGGAAATAGAAAATGAGTTTTGAGCGAATGAACAATTTTTCAAATGTTAGAACCATATATGGCTAAGGGATATTACTTATATTTCGAGATGATTTTTATAGTTTTTTCCGCTTTTGAAGGAGTTAATCGGTCACAGTACTTTAGCACGTGGCATATTCCGAACTCTTCAGAGCATCTGAAATTTGAAAAATTCCTAAAGTCCAGTGATTACGATTTTTGTATATCGAGTGACATTTCTGTTTATACGTGGAAGGATCGTCGCAAAAAATCTGTCTTAATAATTATTTCATTCCATTATCCTTCCGATAAATAACAGTTCTAAGGATTAATAGCAAAGGTGAAACTTTATAGTAAATAGTTATATTTGTATAACATCACATCCAGCAAACTGAGAGTTGCGTAGAGCCAAAATCTCTAGTAGCTAATTTTTATCATTTTCAGACTCTAATAAATAGAAATAAAATTTAAACAAATGTTGGTATAGCGTTACTGTTGAGAGTACAGTCTGAAAAGTAGATGTGGGAAATCACCTTTCAGTGCAAGGTACGAAACGTAGGTGTGTCTATTGTAGCACAAAACTAGCTTGTTGTTCCAGAGAAAGTACTTAAAAACTAAGAACAGAACTGCAAAACAACATAGAACAGTTTAATTAAGTTCATTATATTTATTCCTCGAAATGTCTCCCACCGATTTCGATTCACGCTACAACACGGCTAGGCTGTGTAATAATAATAATAATAATAATAATAAAGTTTTGGTGTAGGAAATGCTTGAACTGAGGTGGTTTTTACTTTATGAAAATCCATTTATCAAAATCAATGAGAACTAAAAGTTTAGATTTTCACAAAATTATATATTTTGACATGATAATTGTTCCGACAACACCGGGTCTTTATCACATTTGATGTTGTCGAAAAAATTGTCATGACAAAATATATGATTTCGTGAAAATCTGAACTTTTAGTTCTTATTTATGTAGGAAATGCTTAATAAAATTGGAAGAGCATTAATAGGGGTCATGGAATGTAAGTATAATATGCAGGGTATTTAATTTGAGTTTTTCACGAAAACATTTTTTGTTTTAATTTTGACTCAGCCTGCATAAACGATTCGGACTAACTTCAAGACAAGTATAGGATACATGACTGTACCGCTTTATAAAATTGTTGCCACCATAAAACTATAGCTGTCGGAAACGGCGTCAAAAATATAGAGTATTAAAAGCATTTGTGACGAAAAAATTGCCACGAATCCGAAAGCATTCAGTATAGACTATAACACCCCTACCTTAATATACGGGGTGTTTCATTTTAAAAAATATAAATTTTGTTTCACATGTATCTATGAATCATCATGTATATATGAAAATAATTTTAAATTGTTCCTTTTAGTCTCATCTACAACTTTTGTATTTAACTTTTTTTTCTTAAATAAATAATAAATGAGATATATTGCTTTGATATTCTATTTGGAAACCTTGTACATCGGTCAAAAGTTGATTATAAAAGAACTTGGACAGCACTGTGCAATTGTTACCAATATATACAGGGTGTTATTGAAATGACGTCATATATTTTAACCAAAAAGGTTTTTCGGAAAGGTTGCACAGCAGAATCCAAGATATAGCTCTAAAGATTTCGCATCAAATGCTTATCGGGCCACCTTAATAACTAATTATTTATCATTTCATCATTAAATATTCGTTTATCGCTGCAAGCTGCCTTTTGCTTACGAGATTCTAGAATGCCGGCCGATTCTGTGCGATTGCCCACAACCCGGACCAAGTTGACGCTCAAACCGAGCTTGGTGGTTTTCTTGGTGTAGGTGAGAGCTACCTCTAAGGCTTTGTCGGCGATCGTGTTGCCTTCTTCGTTGACGAATACTAAAAAGAAGCATCACTAGAACTCACTGTACCTAATATTAGTATAGTTAAGTGTAAATTTACATTTTTCGTAAAGGTAATTTTGATTTAGTATTTTAGTCATTTTAATATTCTACAGGACGCTTTCTGTAAATAATTGTTTTTAAAACAGGTGCTTTAAGTAGATATACTAACGCGGTTTGAAACGTGAGCCAAAAATCATCTGCCAAGAAATACAGAATACACAGCAACAATATAAACTAAATTAAATATGGTGCCTTGTATTATACACTTTTCGGCAAAATTAACGTATCGCTATTATATTTTGAAAAATATTTTTCATTTCATAATATTCATCAACTTATAAATATAACTTATTAAATGTATTAAGAAAAGATAAAATTCCAAGAGAAGATAAAAATAAATATATAAAATAGTTAATTTTCATGCTAAGTACGGGCCTTATCTCGTTTTAATCCAAATTATTCAATATTTGGACAATATCTCCAGAAAGCCGATTTGAAGTGTGAGTAAGGCTAGAATATTCTTGTTCTGTCCCAAACATTCTCGGTCATATTAAGATCAGGACCGGTTGCTGGCCAATCCATAGTTCTAATTCCAAACTAATTAAAATAATTTTACACAATCTGAGCAACATGCGGTTGAGCTTTATCTTTATGAAAGAAAAAATTGTTACCAATGTAAGGACATAATGGTGTCACATGTTCTTTTCTCTTATGCATCTATCTATTGTTAAACTGCCTTTATTAAAAACCACCAAATAACTCCACAATATTTTAATTTTTATATGAATTTCCAAAAATAATTCAAACTAATTTATTGGTGTGTTAATTTTGCTGGCCAGTGTATTATAACAGAAAATTAAATCTAAATTAATCTCTCACTTAACGCAAATTTCATACAACGTTTATAATTTCTGATATTAATTGGTTCATTGGATTTCGAGAAAATATAACTTTGGCCACTCTTAAAATAGACTTTTTGGATCCCAGAAATTGTTGGTTTCATTTTAAGGAAATGATTGCAGAAGATGAGACGAGTGCGTGTACACACTTTTACTTTAATTGCTCTTACTTTGACTTTTACTGCCAACTACACATCGATATTATTTCTAGATGTCATACTATGTAACAACTTTAATAAATGGTACTTGGTCCACTTGTGGCATGTTGTACTTCTGCTACGAGCGACACATTTTTGAAAAAAGCATTGAGTGACGTAATAAACATGTACAGAACCGTCAAAGCTGTCAACATCATCGATCGCTCCCAAACCAGTGACTAAAGTACCGAGAAGCCCAAAATAGCTCACGATAGTGTTTAATGAAGCTACTGGATTAAGGTGACATTTTGCGCAATACTGAGCAGTGCCTATTTGCCTAAGAGTAGCGAGTAGAAAAAAATTGTTTTAAATTCTCATCTGCGGAATTTTAGTAAAAACTCACGCATTTTACTTACACACGTTAATATTTTGCGTGGTTTGTCCCTGGGAACCACCCAAAAAGACCAAAAAAACGCCCAAATGCCACACAATCATTAAACGAATCATGACGATTTTTCTCGAAAATTATCTAATCGGTTTAAAAAGATTTCACGCAAGCCAGGCCCCACGGGAAGAGGCTCGGAAAAATCGAACTCTAATGTGTATTTGTTGCTAAGAGTTATGTGGATGTACACACACACGTAGTAGTCGTTAATATTTTATGATATTGACTTCGGGTGATCAGTCACCTAGTAAATATGAGCCGAGGAATTTAATCGTTTTTACTTGAACTCGTTTATTAATCACAAGTTAGATTTTTCTAATTTATATGGTGTGCGCAGCTGTGACTGGGTAGGGAATGTGAAAAAATATATATTCTCAAATTTTCTGTATCTGTCGGTAAGACATGAGAAATTTTTCAACATTTGCTGTAAATTTTGTCATTTCTGACAAATCCATCTATTCACCCAAACAACCAAATAAAACCAAATTATATTTGCCAGAATCTATTTCAATTCAATGCAACGACGTGTCTTTTTAATTCTGTTGGGCAACACTGCTGTGATACAGAATCTATTTCCCATCAGCCTCTTCTTCTATTCCACCTGGGCACAATGTTTGGATCATTCGGCCAGTTCTCTTGTTGTACGTGACAGAACCATTCTGATTTTATTTTTATTGACCAATTTCGTTTCGGCACTGTGATAAGAATGACGTTAGCCATCTGATGGGTTGAAAACAAATATTACCCAACGGAGTTTCCAGGAAATTATGGCCCAGAATGGGGAAGAAGGGGCCCCCGACACTACCGCCGAGTCAAATTACGCCAAAGTTATTATAGTAGGTGCGGGAATGGCCGGTTTGAGCGCGGCGTTTTACCTAACCAAAAACGGTTTTACGGACTACAAGATATTGGAGGCCCGTGGCCACATCGGAGGTAGGATAATTCAGATTTCGGTTGGGCAGGAGAAGGTGGAACTCGGGGCCAATTGGATTCACGGCGTTTTGGGCAATCCGGTCTATGAATTAGCCATGCAGTACGGCCTGGTCGACATCATGGCAAGCCCGAAGCCTCACAAAGTGGTGGCAGCCACCGAACAGGGCAAACAAGTGCCGTTCGCGATACTGCAGGAAATCTATGAGGCCTATCTTTGTTTCCTGCAACGGTGTGAGGAGTATTTTATATCTCAGTATGATCCTCCAGATGGTATTGATAGTGTCGGCGAGCATATTAGACTGGAGATCAATTTGTACTTAGAAAGAGAGACGGATATTAACACGAGAAAGTTAAAAGAGTTACTCTTTGAGTGTTTGTTAAAACGAGAAACTTGTATATCGGGTTGTGACAGTATGAATGAGATTGATTTGTTTGAGATTGGTAGTTACACTGAGTTGCAAGGGGGGAATATAATATTGCCGGGTGGGTATAGTTCTATATTAGCGCCGCTCGCGAACGCTATTCCTACTGAGAAAATTGTAAAAAAGTGTCCGGTTAGCAACATCCAGTGGGACTGCAACAAAAAATTGGCAAGCAAGGACTACGCTAGTGATTCTGACGATTCTGCTAGCACAGTGGTGGAACATCAAAGCCGATCGGCTAGTAGTAGTAGAGAGTCGTCGCAAGAGAAGGCTGCTTCATGTCATAATGTAGAAATTACATGCCAGGATGGCAAAAAATTTTTTGCAGACCATGTGATATGTACTATACCGCTAGGAGTTTTGAAACATGAGGCGGGCACCTTATTTAAACCGCCACTGCCGGATTATAAGTTGGAGGCCATAGACCGCTTACTTTTTGGCACAGTTGATAAAATTCTTTTAGAGTATGAGCGGCCATTTCTGCACCCAAGCATTACGGAAGTCTTGTTACTATGGGAACCTGCAGATCCCAAGGAAGATATCAGCAAGACCTGGTTTAAAAAGATCTATTCTTTCAGCAAGATATCAGACACTCTAATACTGGGTTGGGTATCTGGCAAAGAAGCTGAATATATGGAAACATTGCCCAAGGATGTGGTGATAGAAGTTTGCACCATGGCATTGAGGAAGTTTTTGAATGACCCTTTCATTCCCAAGGCCAAGAATTGCGTGTGGTGAGTGTTTCTGGTTGCCTCTTTGGCCAATGTTTCTTAGATAACTGTTTTTCGCTTCTAGCACAAGTTGGCACAATCAGGAGTTTACTAGAGGATCTTATACAGCTATAGCAGTAGGGGCGTCACAGGTGGACATAGAATGCCTAGCCCAGCCTCTCTATTTGGACGAACATGAAACCAAAGTACTTTCCAATGTTGTATGCGTCACTTTTGGTTTGTATTTGTGTTTTATTTTGCAGCCAGTGTTACTGTTCGCCGGCGAGCATACGCACAGCAACTTCTACTCGACAGTTCACGGGGCTTACCTTACGGGAAGGACTGCGGCCCAGTCTATACTTGTTAGCGATCATCCCCAAGAGATAGTAGTTGACTGCGAGGACGAGACGGATTTGAGCTCTTGGATTCAAGGAATCAGTCTCGAGTAAGATATATATGAAAAGAAATAGAAATTATTTTTAATAAAAGACTATGAGGAAGTGTTTAAGGTGAGTGACATTATGAGACTAAAGCTCCCTCTGTTGATATTAAGTAATTATCTGGTCTCAAAAATCATTTTTTTGAGTTTTATTGTTTACGATATGGTTATTTTATGTATTATTTTTGGTATCCTCAAATTGAAGGTCTTGACCAGTTGACCATGTTAGTCACATACATTTCTTATGCACTACAAATTAATTTGTTGTTATTGTACAGTCGTTCAAGCCATTTGAAAAGCTTTTGCAAGAGGTACATTTTGTTCCTAGTCACCAAATAGTATTTCATACTTTTATATGAAAAAAAATTATGCCGAAAACATTTGTTTCTGCTTTGTCGCGGTGGGACCCCAAAATGTAAACAAAAATAATTTTTCTGATTGTTTAGTTTTATTTAAATTTTTTCCTGTTGCCCTATTGTGAAAAAGCCAATTTTTTAATTTAGTTTTTTTGCAAATCACTGATGTGTAGTATTTTGTGGTCACAACAAAATTGTTCTTTGTATTTGTTTTATTTGCCACAAAAACTGTCAGAATGTGATTAATGTTAACGAATTATGCCCATATGATTCAATGTAATTTTATTTTTTAAGCTTGAAGCTAGTCAGTTTTTAAAATTGTTTTAATAAAAAACCGAAACATTGGCTAAGGTGTTTATTTAACCCATTCCAGGCACCCGATACAGAAACTCCCCATCGCTGTCATAATAACAATCATTTAGCTTATAAGTGTAACCTGCTTTAAAAATATTTTTTGGAATAACAATTTTATCCGGGTAAACTAGGTGTGAAACATCTTTTGATTTTTGAGTGACTGCCACTTTTCCGGTATTGGCTTGGCTTGACTTGGCATTGTGTAGAATCTTTGATAATTCTTCTGATTTGACTTCTACAATGTTCTCTTCTTGCTGCTTTTTCAAGCTGCAGTTTAAAAGCAGCCGGTCCTCTTGAGTTAACTGTTTACCAATTTTGGCTGTGTTTTTAATGTCTTCCTGAAGCTCTTCAAATGTCATTAACCTTTCTATTCTTTTTTTATGCATTTTCGGCTTTGAGTCAGTGGTGGCATTCAAAAACTTGTCACTCACACCTGTGTCTTCATTTTCCTCTTTAGTGTTTCCTTTTATATTCTGATAACTTCTTATAATATCCTCAAACTCCCCAGCCAGTGGTTTTGAAATATTGACAACCCTTTTGCCTTGCTCAGTAGGTTTAGCAAAGAGGTTTAAATTTAAGGAACGCTCTGTAAACCTGCTTAAATGTTCCCTCAGCTGTTGTGGTAAGGCAAGATTACCTTTCTTAAAATTTTCCCAATTTTTAATGACTGTTTTATCGTGGTTTGCTATTTTTTGGGGTGTTTTCTTTGTCCAGGTCCTCCTCACAAGACTCTAAAAAGATAAGGGTTCCAAATACAAAACTGAATGCGCAATATAAGGTGAATTTTTACCTGCACCACTTCTCGCGTTGCGGGAAATCCCTCTGAGAGTTTCTCAACGCTCCACTCTTGTGGATCTTGCTCATGCAAAAATTTTATTTGTTCCTTATCGTGCCATGTCAAGAAATTTGGAAATTTCTGCTTGAAATATTTCTGCCTGACTATGAAATACTTCTCTTGTTCTTTCATAGCGTCCATTTCATTTACGTGCTCCCTGTAACTTTTGTGAACTTCCATGAAATCACTTTCAAAGTCCGTTTCTATATCTAATTCTTCAATTTCGTCTGGAACTACTTTCAAAGCACTGATTCGTCTGTGCATTCCAGGATCACCTTTCGACAGTTTCTTTACATATTTGGTTGAATATAGGCGTTTAATTAAATACATAATACTAAACGGTGAAAATGGTTTCTAAATATTTTCAAGGTTAGGTAGAATTACATTTTCCCTTACTAAAAATTTCTTCTTAACAGTTTAGGCTTGTATAAGATTTAAAGCAGTTGTCCAATTTCTATTTGTTCTTGACAATCATGTTTAGCCGAATGATCCCAGTGTCCTGGACTACTAAGTAAAAAGAAGAAGGTAATGTAGCAGGTATGGCTGTATGACTTTTTAAGCAGTTGCTGACTACATTTGTATTTTTAATTCAAAATGTCCATTGTACAATTTGCGGTTTTTATTATTTATTCCCATATTTCAATATCGAATCTTTATCTTTATTTCTTATGTTTTACAACAGCATGAGCTCAAAACTATGGTTCTAAAGCGATCGGTATTAACTGAGGTTTTATTCTTTTCCAGAATGTAGATGATGCTGAATCTGTTAGAATGATCCATGAAATATGGCTAATAGAGGTATAAGACGTGGACAAACAAATCTATTGCCAATGCCGATGGCCAATATCCAAAACTTATACTTTGGATTTAACAAACTTTATCAAATTGTAATCTGTGTCTGACAGTTCCCAATGGGATTTTTAAATGACAATCGCAAAATAAATAAATAACACGCGGCTCTTAAAATGATAAATATTTCGTTGGAACGTGTCGGGTTAGCGCTTTATCGATTGAAAAATTAGTAGTGCGATCTGAAAAGCACTTACCGTTACGTCTATGCAGATGACACCGACCACTTTTCATTGTGGCCTTTTCTTGAATCCGCATGTGGAAATTTAGATAATAGCAGGTAATTATAATTATGTCATCGGTCGAACAGACGACGATTAGGAATAACGAGAAGAGAATAAGATTCAGAACTCCCTCGAAGGTTTTATTTAGTAGTGATACAAGTTGTGAAGGATATGATAGGAGGGCTTATAAAGACATGGGTTCCAAAACAGAAAAATCTCCCTCCTTGATGTCTTTCTTGCAAGTGGAGGTAACGAGGGATTATTTATTGGAAAATGACGAAGAACGTTTTGCCGCAAGAAGGGAAAAGATTTATTCATTTATGAAAATACCAAAGGAGGTGGAAAAATTTATGCAATATGGGTTTATGCAGTGCATGGACAGTTTTCTTTTTGTTTATACCTTTTTACCTCTAAGAGTCCTTCGAGCATTGTGTGGTTTAGTAACAAGGCTGTTTTCAAAATGTTTTGGGTGAGACTCATGTCGGTCATATGCCAATAATACTGTTGTACAATTTTTAGTATGGCCAATTCAAGGAACAAGCGTTTATTAACTCCAGCAGAGATATGCGATCTTCTCAAGGCTGTTATTCTTATATTTTGCACTGTGATGTTGTGGTCTATTGATACGAACATGATGTATCATGTGATAAAAAGCCAGTCAGTGATAAAACTGTATATATTTTATAATATGCTTGAGATTGGTGATAGACTGTTCAGTGCTTTTGGACAGGACACCATTGACGCCTTATTCTGGACTGCTACTGAACCCAGAGGCAGGAAGCGCGAACACTTGGGTGTTATCACTCATTTAGTGTTTGCTATCGTTTATGTTGGTATCCTTTTTGTTCAGTTGATAATGCTTTTTAACAAATAACATTTATCTATTGCTACTTTGTTTATCAGTAATTGGAGATTAACAGACTTGCTGTAAATTTTTAATTATATAAAGTCAACAAAAGCAGAGTCTACATATTGATGACCTCCACTTGATTTTTACATGAGTCATGTTCATTTTCACAAATGAATTAAGTCCTTAACCCTTATATAGTTCTTCACAGCGTCTTGGTGTTATTTCAAGCGACTACTTTAAATGTGGCCGTAAATTCGAATAATAAGGCTCTTTTGACCATAATGATGTCAAACAATGTAAGTATTTATTTATAATTTTTATCATAATACCACAGAAAAATAATTTCATTGTTTCCTTATTAGGAACAGATAATGAGTCAATGAACAAATTAAATTAAGTATTCTTGTGTCGTGCCCAACAGCTATCTGTGAAACGCATCATTGAATTGAATTGAAGTATTCTTGTTTCCACTTTACATTGCGTTGGGCAAGCTTACAAGGGCTACTCGCCCATGGTTGGAGCCGTTGAGAATTATGCTTTGTTAACGCTGAATTATAAATTGTTTTTAATCTTTCTGTATATTAAACCCACAATACAATATAAGTCCGAACAATGCCAACTAAGCAAATACATGGGATTGTGCCGGGAGTGCAATGCGCATGACAGAATCCCGAGTAACGGATTGTAATATAGTAGGGGTAAATGATAAAAGGGTCACCTTGCTTTTCTTGCAAATTAAAAAAAAATTAAAAACGCAAGGGGACACGTTTTTGTATATTCCTATATTAAAGGCGAACCATTTTAAAAACTTTGACTACTAGTTTTTGAGATATCCGGTTTGATAATTAGCGTGGGCCAAATTTTTTTTCTACAGCTTTTTCTTTGTGGAATTTTGAATCATATCAATGACGTAATTACTGTTGACTGCTTCAGGGGGTGAAAATCGGCCTTGTCTCCATTTATTAATACAAATAAAAGTTGTGCTGAGAATTTGCTAAAATTTTTAAGGCTATTATTTGTCTTAGACACTGCTACACTGATAGGTTAATTAAAAAGTTTGAACCCTCTAGATCCGCCTTTAAAAAAAACATCAACGCAGACTTTCAGTAAGAGACAAAGTGATGGTGCAACGGAAATTTCTCACATGACTGTTCACAAACTTTTGCGTTATAGCAGGCACTACCGGAGCTAATCAAATCCCTACATCCACAATTAATGAAGTGTGTTTACAGTTTTTGGCAAACGAAATGTGTTTCTAACTGGAGCAAGAGCTCTGCAAGAGCTGCGCCAAATAATGTATGCGCAAGAGTAACTCCAGAAATATTTTAAAACATCATGTGCTTTGAAAGGTTCTACTAGTACATGGAAGTACATGGAAGAAGATGGTGACGACTTTCAGCAATTTGATTTAAGTCGGTTGGGATCTAAAAAAGCTAATTAACGCTGTATCTAAAATAATGGAGGTATAACTCTCCTCACCATCACAATTGTACGAAAATTTTAAAAAGTTTTGAAAATTCTTGTTTGCTTTGAAAAGAAAGTGTTACTTAACCCTGCAACCCTATCTAAATTGTAAGGGTCAATCTCACCTCTTGAAGAGCAAGTCTTCTTCGATCTTTTCAGATTAGCCAGAATGTGCCCCCTTACAAACAAAATTATTTCAATTTATATGATATTCTGGAAACTTAGGCATAGACCTAGACTCTGATAACAGATTCCTGATGGCATTTCTTGTTCTGTGTGTTCTGTATTAAACAACTATGACGTCACAAGTTGCCCGCTGCATTTGACTTTTGCTGATAAAAGATTATGCGGCCCTTTTCGAATTTCTTGACATATTTTGGTAATTAAGTCCCATTATTTGTAGTTTGTTGAGCTCAAAGGGAGCGTATTCAAGAAATTCGACAAGAACAATCTTTTTCAAGTGTCTTGCAGCGACGTTAGAGAGAGGTTCCACTTAAGCATTCTCTTGTTCGTCGTTATTTTGCAAACGATGCGGGAATACAATTGGAAACTGGACATATTTTGGGTTCTCTCGTTCGATTGCTTGCTGGTGTTGCTGGCGGAAGTGCTGGTCGACTGGATCAAACACGCATTCATCACCCGCTTCAACGAACTGCACCTGGACGTCTACAAAGACTACCGGACCAGTTTCGCGTATGATATGGCCCAGACGAGACAGAAACGAGCATTTTCCGATCACTCGGACTTGGTGGCCAGGCGTATGGGTTTCATACCACTCCCCCTGGGCGTGGTTATGAATCGGATCTTCTTCTATTCCGTCAGCATAACCGACGTGCCTTCGTTGATAATATTCTTCATTGGTTATCTGTGTCTGTGGTCCTGCAAGATTTTGAACAGCGTCTTTGTGCTCGGCAAGGCTTGCTCGTTCATCTCTCAGCATAGAATGGAGCGCAGCGCCGCCTCAGTCGATTCTCCTCTAAGTAGGAGGGTTAAAGACATATCTACCAGTCCGGTGCATCCCGTGGTCGTCGAGCAACCGCTCAAAAATGGTTTCCCGCCGTTGGACGTCAAGGAACCACCGGGCGATTTGAGCGCCGCCATTTTTGCCAACAGCACGGTAGACTTGAAGAACGCGAGCCTGAACGAAGAACTGCTCAAGGTTAACGGCGAGGATATCAGGATAGAGCAGGTGTGCGACGAAATTGTGTCCAGAAGCGTGCCGGATATCAAAAGCGAGGTGGGCGACGAGGCGGTGGTTAAAAATGACGTGGAAGGGCTGAAGAAGTCGGAGAGCGAGCCGAACTTGAACAGCCTCGATGTCAGCCAGAGTAAAGACTAATAGGCTGTGACGATATCGCGCGTGTGTACATAAAAACAGTGAAAATGGGTATTTATTTTTGTAATACGATGAAGTGTTTAAATAAAATGGTTGCTGTTGGTTACCGATTCTTAATTCACTTTGGAGAAGTCATGGTGTACCTAAGGAGTTAAAGTAAAAAAAAAAACGATCATTTAGCATTTTTACTTATCGGCTGGAGAGGTGACTGCAAGTCGGAGTGTTCTAACCTATAAGTCGAACCTTAGGTGAGTTCGACTAATATAAACAGTGCTGGAGCGGAGTAGGAGTACATTTTTGTTACGCGAGCTTGGAGTTAATATAGTAAACTGTGCGTGTGTACAGCCTGTACCAAATAAAACGATCCACTATACTATCTGGAAGCCCATAGCAGATACGAAAAAAAGTTTCGTACAAAAATTTCTTGGACTCCCCTGAAGATTTAAAATATTATAATTTTGTTGATACAGGGTATCCCAAAAGTGTCCCCCCCGACATCAACTTTGTTATTTTAAATGAAACACCCTATATATTTTTTAAATCCTTGGCTAAAATAAAAATCATTTTTTTAAGAAATTCCTATTCAAATTTTGCATCGTTTACGCAGAAATTGAGGTTATGTGTTTTTTTTTTCATATTTTGATTGCCCCATATAAAATTGTGTTGTGACGCTACTGATCCAGGTATTGCAACGAAAATTTAACCACACACATAGACGATGAACTACTCAATCAGTTTGACAGATGCGCCTCAGATTATACAGGGTGTCCCAAATATGTGGTGCCGTTTTGGCGAATTCAATTAACAAAATCTCAAGATTTTCTAACGGAACATACTATATTTCTCTTCAGATGTCAATTCTAGCACAAAGGTAAGTTTGTAATTTATGTTATATTAAAATTTATGATATGATACTACTTCTTTTAAAGATATAATCCTCCAGATATACGAATAAAACCTATTGCCAACAACACTAATGGATTCTATACTACACTTTAACAGATTTAGTAAAACTTTAGAATTCATATTTAAAGAAAAATTTAATTGTTAATTATCTAGAATGATTGAAAATACCCAATAACAAAAATAAATAATTCAAGTTTATAGGTTAACCAAAAAACTGAAACTACGAATAAATATATACATATAAAATAATAATATATATAAAATAATACAAATAAAATATATACTAACAAAAAAGTTGACAAATATGAACTTTTTGAATAGAAATATGAGAAACAACTAAAACAAACAGAAATGACAAAGTTTGTTTATACACTAACGCGTCAAAAAAAAAAGATTGTGATGTCATAGCCAACTACATTTTTAAATATTTTGATATTTCTTCGTTGTGTTGATACCAGATGGAACGAGCATTTTAAGAGGAACATTTTCAACTAAACTTTATGGACCGAATTGACGAACCCTTTTTAACTTTTTTTTATAGATTTATTTATTCAAATTTGTTAGTTAGCGTATAAACTTTAATTATTTATTTTTGTTATTAGGTATTTTCCATCAAGCTAATGTGGCAGCTTTAAATTCAAGGAGAATTTATACGGGTGTTATCTCAAACTTCGAATATCTCAAAAAGTAAGTAAAATTTAAATATAAGATAAATTACAAACTTTCCTTGTGTTTTGTCCTAGAATCGATATCAGAATAAAAATATAGTATGTTCCGTTTGAAAATCTTGAAATTTTGTTAATTGAATTCGCCAAAACGCACCACCTATTTGTCAAAATTGAGTAGTGCATCGTCTATTTAGTCTGTGGTTAAATTTTCGTTGCAATGCCTGGATCAGTAGCGGCACAACACAATTTTAAATGGGGCTATCAAAATTTGAAAAAAAAAAACACATAACCCCAATTTCTGCGTAAACTATGCAAAATTGAAAAATGATGAAATGTCTTCAGGAGAGTCCAAGAAATTTTTGTATAAAACTTTTTCGTATCTCCTATGGGTTTCCAGATTATTTTGAGTATTTATTTTTGTAATACGATGAAGTGTTTAAATAAAATTGTTGCTGTTGGTTGCCGATTTATAATTCACTCTGGAGAAAGCCATCGTATTCCCAAGGAGTGAAAGTTAAAAAAAAACGATACGATCATTTAGCATTTTTACTTATCCACGCTCGGCTGGAACGGTGACTGCAAGTCGGAAAGTTCTAACTTATAAATCGTACCTCAAGTGGGTTCGGCTAATAAAAACTGGAGCGGAGTAGGAGTAGAGTTTAGGTCTATTTGTAAAGCGGGGCTGGAGGATTCTTAAAATGGGTTTTGAAGGGGTCAACTCCGGCAGGTTTGGAAGTTATTCGAGGTTGAAGGTGGTTTAGGTTAAATTGGTTCAGGCTTTCGCGGCCCGTTGATAAGCTATTATCTTGATTCGGGTCTAAAGCCGTCGTCGGTTGGAATTACTTCCTAACGTTTCGTTAGCACGAGTAGACTGACGATTTCTCCTGCGCAGATTGTATTTATGCCGATTGATGGTGGGCGGAGCTTGTTCAGCTTCGGTTGGTCTCGGGATATCGATCGATACTTCTCGGGGGTTCCTAGGGTTCGGGTTCCAGATTTGGTTGAGTCTAAAGGTCTCCTCCATCCTGTTGAAATTGTATAGGTGTTTCTGTATCTCAATGGCTTCCCTGACCAGTGATAGCCGTTGACTGATGCTAGTAACTTACAGCTATCAGGGACTACGCCCCTGGACTTATGGAGCAGAACGTCAAATATAAATGTCAATCAGCTGTTTTGTTTGTTATTTGTTGTTGTTTGTTATAATAATTTAATATTTGTGCCTCTGTTTGATTGATAAAAGAAAATATCTGAACAACAACGATAATGTCTTTTTCTTTTTATTTTAATACACTCGTTGGCTAACATTATTATTTAAAGTTATTTCAGAAGATGCACGAAGCTTCTAATAAAATGTTTAATCTTATGTTCTCATTAGTTTTTTGGACGACTTCGGATCTTGTAATGGGTCTTTCTTTCGTCAAACAAATTACAAACTTCTTGAGTTCTCGTTTTTTTTTACATATCCAATAAAAATTAAAACTTTTCTGAGTTTCACTTAGATACGCCATATTCACTTTCTTTGTTGACAGAAATGTAAATGTAACAATTTATGAACTTTACTGGGACAGTACCTGTTTATTTAAAAAATCAATCTGTTTTTTGTCTTTTTGCTTATAAAAAGTTAGATAGGTATAGGATATGCTACATGATAGGTTTAAACAAGGATTTTGGTATCGACATGTACTTCTTGACCCACCCTGTATATTTTCGGTTCACTGCAAAAAATGCGCCAGAAAATATTTTAATCGTTCAATCTACTGCTACAATGCTCGCTTCTTTCTACTACTTTGTTTAACGCCTAATAAAAAATGAAGCTCCAAAAATGAAGCTGCTGCTGTACATAATTACAAATTGTTAGCTTTCAGGAGATTAAATCAGGGGATAGTTGCATCGGCGATTGATTTGTGTTAGTTTTGTGCGAGGCATTGACGTCTCCTATCCTTTTCAAAATAGGATTTATGCTTTATGTGTTTATGATGCTAACAGTGTCACTAGTGTCATTTGGCACTCGCTTCGCTCGTGTTTAATAAACGAGTAACTGAAGAAGTTTATCAACGTGTTGCATAGCATAATTTTTCTAGGACTTTTAGTGACGAAAGTACCGAAAACGTCCGATCGCTTGAAGCAGGGAATAGAAAAAATCGTTTAGATTTTAGAAGTGTTATTTGTATTAGAACCGTTTCTTGGCGCTATGGCGGATGCGCGCAAGTGACACATTTTAGAAACGGGAACCGAAACAACCATCTGTTGGATTCAATAGGAACTTAACAGTTTTCCACCATTTGTTTAACAGTACGATTTTTTAAAAATTGAAAACTATTTAAAAATAAACATTTTGGCAAAAAAAATGTATTTGAATTTTTTAAAATAGGTATTGTATTTTCCTTTTTACGTTTGCATGTTATTTTTATTATTTTTATCAACAAGCTTTTTTGACTAATTCGATAATAAAAAGGTACACGATATATGCCTTTTATATATAGAAACTTTAGGATAGCTAACTTAAAACCTAACACCTTTTCCACATTTCAAGAGGTTTGTGGCTTGAGCATCGTTGACATAGAAGAAATCAGGTTTAAAAAAAAAATGCAAAAAAATTAAATGTTGATTATTTGGTTTAAAATAAATAATTTGTCTTAGATCTAAATACGAAAAATATTATTTTGTTATTAGATTATCGTTAGTGTGACAAAGTTAAACGGAGATTTTAAAAGCATCGAAGCGAGACGCAAATATTTTAATATATTGTCAAACGTCTCTGCAGTTCAGTAGGCGCTTCGATTCTAGGCAGTTATTCGATTCCGTTTCAGTCAGTAATAAGGTTTAGTATATTTCAATTCTCACAATGCTTCAAAAAATATTTATTTTTCTTTGTTTGTACCGTTTGCTTTAACATAAAAACATTAATCGTAATTAAAAAAAAAACGCCATGAAAAATAAAGCAGGCGTTCTAAAAATAAAACTAAAACTTTAATAATTATTTTATATAAGGTTCAAAGTGCGTCATTTTTATCTGAGCAATATCCCAACCTATCATAAAATACTTTGGCCAGCGTTTCTGCAATAACATTGCTAAAAGCATTTGCAATTTTACTACACTACGAAGTTCCTCTAAATTATTTGTACGATGGTGTGTGTGCTTGTAAATAGTGCTACTGATGTAACCCAAAAGAGACAAATTATTTGGTGCTAGATCTGGGGACCTAGGTGGCCATTCGATTGTTGCCCTTAGGAAACGTTGCATTCAAAAAATCCTCCCCTCGATTCACAGAATTTGTTGTCGAGATTTTTCTATTTTTTTTGCCTTATTTGTACTTTTTCCAATTTTTCTCATGCACTTATTTATACCCATGTCCTAACCATTTTTTAAAAAGTCGTCGCTAGGACAGGACGTCAGTTTATATTCTAATTTTGTTGTGTATTATTGTTCTAAGCACTGGTTCAGTGGAGTAGCTAATTCTAAGCTAGACTGCGACCGCACAACTAATTAGTTTTGTATTGTATGTTTGTTATAATACTATC